CATAGCCACACTTGCTCCCTCAAACAGACCTGTAATTATTGCCATCCACTCTATCTTGGTCTCTCATGCCCCACTTCGTTAATCTCACCTCTCTCATTCAGAATCACCTCCATCATAGACTGATGCTCTCTCTCATACACCCCACATTCCATCAACAAGTGCTCCACAGTTTCCTTCTCATCCCCATCACACATAAAACATTTATCTTCCTCCATTTATCTTCATTCCACCTGTATGTACATCCATTCACACCTAGCGCGCCTGCCCTAACACAAAACAGAAGGTCCCACCTCTACTAGCATCATACATAAATTCATATTTTGACATCACTTTCATCTGATACAGTCATAGAGTGTCCTTACCCTCCATTCCTTGCTTCCACACCTTTAGCCCATAGTCTTCCACTTGCTTATTTATTTCTCTTTTCCACTTTTTCATCCCACTCTATCCCAATTGCACCCCATACTGTCACCACCCATTTGTCCTTTGGCGCACTCATGCTTCATGCATACCACACTTACGCACCACTGCCCAACATCTACTTGCCCATTTGCTCACCTTCATGTTCCAAATATACATCTTTCGTTCCCAGCTTCCATCGTCCATTCACTCCAGTCTCACTTTACACCTCAGAACTGCTCTTATTCTTCTTTCCTAGAAGGTACTCCAATCCATGTGTCCTCTCAGGGCCTCTACCGCAGTCCACCTGGGGGCTCCTTGTGCCAATCTTGCCACTCTATTCTGTACCAATTCCAATTTATCTAGCTCACCATCCCTACAAGCTATCAAATCCAATCCATACATAATACTAGGCACTACCACACTCTTCCACACTTCCCTCAATACTTCATACTTACTCGCTGTCACTTTTGCTGCACTTTCCAAGTATACCCAACCATTGGTTTGCCTTACTTAGATTTCTGGCCTTTGTTCTCTGACATCCTTCATGGTCCACACACATCCCTAAGTACTTATACTCATTTGTCCTAACAATCTCATTCCCTCCCAACATCCACACTCAGCTCATATCCTCAACTGATCCATTCACAACAAGTACTTGGCTCTTCTCTGCACTGAATCACACATTGAAGTCCCTCCCATACTCAGTCACACAGTCCAGCATACTTTGTAATTCTTTTCTATTTTCACTCATAATCACAGCATCATCAGCATACAGAAGCATTCTTAACCTTTTGTCGCCTACACACACACCAACATCCATTCTCCTCACCCTCGTGGCCATCTCTTCTTTGTAGAGGTTGAAGAGAAGCAGAGACAGGATACAGCCCTGTCATATGCCTCTCCTACTCCTCACCCAGACTGTCTCAATATCCCAAGTCTATATTTTGCTCAAGTATTCACATACGTACATACTTCTCACAAGCCTCACACATTTTTCACTCATTCCAATTTTTCTCAGTGTTTGACACAGGAGCTCTCTATCCACCTGGTCATATGCTTTTTCTATGTCTAGAAAAGCCAAGTACACTTTCTTTCCATCTCTTTTCATTCTCCCGATCAGTTCATTCACAACATATATATTATCTTCTGCTCTTCTGTCATGTCTAAAACCATTTTGCTCTTCACCAAACACTCTTTCGTTCTTAATACATCTTTGCATCCGCTCATTCATAACCGCTCAGAAAATCCTACCACTGGTGTCAGCAAGGGCTATTGGTCTGTAATTCTTAAGTTCCTTTTTGCTCTTGTGGCCACCCTTGTGAAGCAAGGTTACACGACTTTCATTCTGCTCATCATGTACACACTCATTTGTCCAAACAACATTGAAAAGATCAGTCAGTCTACCAATTGCACTCTCACCTCCATACTTATACATCTCATATGGTATCACATCCATTCCAGCTGCCTTATTATTCTTCAATCGCTCTACCACTTGTTTCACTTCCTCATTTGTAATTTCTTTGTCCATGCCACTCCGATTTTTACGTTCTACTGAAACAACATTTTTGTCGGGCGTAAATAAGTTATTCATCCCACCAATTTCTTCACAGCCTCTGCCAACATTGTTCTTTCAGTTACATACACTCCTTCTACATTCAGCCCATCCATTCTCAGATCATTTTCACTCTTGTCCCCTCTTAGGAATGCATACCAGTTGCATCCTCCTCTCTCTCCCTTCATAACGAATTCATTTATTCTATTTTGCTCATACTCATCGATATGATTTCTAATGATAGTTTTGGTCCTTCTCTGTTGTTCTTCATACCTCAGCCATGCTTCCTGATATTCCTGCTCACAATCCTGGGGGAGAGGTCTGCAGAGCCAAACGTTTCGAAGGACCTGAATCCTGAAAGATAATTACAGTTTCTGTGCTTCTGGAATCGATGATTTTCTGCATGTTATTAGTCCATATTAAAATTAGATTTTTCTTATTTACTCGGCATACAATTAAACTTACTTGCAGTTCATTTTTCAGTATTCAATTACATCGTTCTAATAAATCTAATACGTAACTGATAAGATTTCAAAAATGTTTTCTGATGATATTCTGTATTCTAATAGCATAAAAATACATAAAAATAACTTTTTTAAAAAACTACGTTTTTTTCTTGTGGACTAGAAAGTAGAATATAAATTATGGCCCGCCCCAAAAAACGTGTGTCGGGCTGTACGTTCACCATCAAATTTCCAAAATTCGTGTGTTGTGTGCTTTTCATTTTTATGTATTTTATTTTCTACTTTTTAGTCCGTTGTTACACATGAAAAACGTTGTTGCGAGCCAATTTACTTAACTTGACGTACGTATCGATGATACGCAACGTCAGCGACTGCTCGTCTATAACGTGAGCGGCCGCACGTCTTAGTATATATAAACTATATATAGTATATACGCCTGGAAACGTGCAACAAATTATTGATAACTGTATTGTTATCGGGAGCTGAGCTTCCCTAAAAGTTTCAAAACGCTAGCTAGTGGGAAAGTTGGTGAAATATCGATTGCAAGATTTGATCATCACAGACAGACAGACACGAAAGCGAGCTAAGAAAAACGTAGTAAAAATAGCACTTTATTAGCATAATTTCCTCATAAATATCCAATCAGAACTTTAATTTAAACATTTTTTCCAGAAAATTGGCAAATTTTCACACGTTTTCATCATTGATATGTTTCATTAACTTAGTTCATAAATACTATTATTACTTAAACAGCTATGCTGTCATACAGGATCATGCCTTTCCTGATGCTTGCAAATTTTTATGTGCATGAATATTTATTCTCTAACAGATTACATAAATGTATCACTTTATGTTAACAACCAATGCCATTGATTTTGCACACATTTAAAAATAATTTTTTTGTATCAATGAATGATGGCATGCTAGTGGCAGGGTGGCTCTGTGGGCTAGTCTGTATAGTAAGGCCCAAAATAGGTTGAGGACGCCATTATTCTGCCCAAAAGACATCAAGGCACCATCATAATGGATGGTGGATGCCAATGTTAGCAGCAAATGGATGGCAAGGACGCCAAAATTGATTGCCTGTGGTCTGGAAGTTGTTGCATGGGCGCCAGAAGTTTATTTTGGGATGTACACCAGTACGCCAGGGAAGAATGTTGCCAGTAGGATTGCTAGAAAAACGAAAGTGCATCTCTGACTGATGAATCTGACACTCGCGCTTTGCAAACGATGTGCCATGATTGACATGGATGCACACATTTTACGATAGATGTGCATCAGCCCAAAACATTGTGTTGGAGATTGCGGTAGTTGCTGTCACATCAGAGTGTATTAAACTGCATTTATTCTTCAACAACAATGTAAGCAATGCATTATCATGTGTTCAGTTGCCTCTAAAGTAGAGACAAATGTTTTTGTTGCTGTTTGTAGGGTACAATTAGAGATTTGGGGTAACATGCTCACAGGACTTTGCAAATGAGTTTTTGGCTCATAAATGGCTCTTTATGGCTGGGATATGGCATTCATGTCTCAAAAAAAAATTGAATCATGGCCTTCAAACACATGAAATCCTGGCTCCATTCGTGTTTCAGAGAGATCTCATCTAGTCTGGTTCAAAGAGTAGACATTTTTTTTCACTGGACACAAGGCAGTGAGCACACTAAAAAGCTGTACCCTTTACAGAATGACACTTGGTCCTCATTTGGAATATCAAGTAGAAGTTTTATGACATTGCAGGCCAAAATGATCATATTATGGGTAATTTTTGAACCTTGTGGGCAAAAATAAGTAATTGTTCTTAGTTTTGACTGAAGAAATTGGGAAAAACACCATAGGAACAGGTAAAATTGACCAATTCTTAGGTCTTCGGCCCCAAATCCAGGTTAGTGCAGTTTTCCATTGGCCCAGACCTTTGCATGATGATAATGCTGGTGGGTTTCTCCAGCACGGTGCGAGTGACAGTCTTGTAAGTTTGTCTCAGGGGCATTTTTGCCCTCCAGACTGAAGATGGCAGTTGAGATGATCATGATGTTTTGGTTGTTAGTCAAATTACTCCTACTCCAATGTAGTTCAAATGATGAAGTTTACAACCTTATTAGAAGCAAAATTTGTAGAATACACCGGCTTCTTGGAGAACTTATGCTTTTTGACAGCGGCCATTGTTGTGTATAGTAGGAGTTTGATGTTGTCAATGGTGTCACAGAGCCTGTTGAATTCATCAATGACCTTGAGATGAAGTTGCAGGTTTATAATGCTCAATGTTGTAGTTGTTTGTCCAATTTCTCCCATGTAGTCCAAATGCTGAAGAAATCTACAACCTTCTTTGAAGCAAAATTTATTAACTACCTACGTATGTTACTCTGGCCTCTAGAGAGTTCCTGCATTTTTTGCAGGGTGTTGTTGTTACTTGTTAAACCTAACTTGTTAAACTTGTAGTTAACTACTTGTTAAACCTGTCTATTGATCTCCCAATGTCATCTAGAAAATTGTTTGAATTTTTTAAAATTTTAATGCATTCTTTGGTCATCAATTGGTATGCATAAAAGCAAGAAAATTCTGCCATCTAATACTAATTATCTTATTTTATATACATAGAAATTATTATAATAATAGACATTGGTAAGGGCCATTAAAATAGCAGAAATTGAGCCCTGTATATATAGGCATTATTGTCTCGTTGATAGGTGGCTTCTGCTTAATTTCTACAATGGTTTTGAGGAATTCCATCTGCACATATTAATCAAATCAAGGTAGTCCTGTCAAAACCATTGTTTCCAGGAAGCTTATTTTGCATGGAAAAATTCCTCCAAAACTTACATCTTCCTGAGTGTGGGGCTGTAGCTAAATGTTGGTTAGGTCTTGGTGATAAAGAATAGGATTGATTGCTCACATGTTCAGTCATTCTGTCCTTCATCTATGATGCCTATTGTCCTTCAGTCCCAGCAGGCAATGCAAGTAAACATACTATTCTGAACTAAATACACACAAGTACCTCAAAATGAATGACCGTGAAGAAGGAGAGCTTTCTGGGTCTGATGTAGACCTTGAGGTTAGTATTGCCCTTTTGCCAGACATAAAAAAAATTACCAAGTTTTGAAATTATTCTGTGCCATACTTATTACTTTATAATTTTCTGTTGTTTGTCTCATTATATGTGTGTAAGAATTTCATGGAGAAATTATATGCTGTTTGCAATTTTTAGCGGATGGTGGATGCCAGCAACATTCTGCCTCCAGCAACAGCTCCACTGCATCAGTACAGGACACCTAGAGCTGCCCAACATGTACCAGGGCTTTCCAGTGATGAAGATTCTTCTGACAATGACTTGGATGATGAAGACTGTCACCTGAGTGGTCCTAAGCGCATGAAAGTCTCAAATGCATTGTCAAGGTAAAATTTACAATGGGCTAAATAGGTATGGGCTAAATAGTTCCTATATATAGAGCAGTAGTGACCAGCTAAACTCTGCACACAGGCCCCACTTTATGTTTTTAATATTTTTTTTAGATTTTGTCTTATTATGGTGGTTGGTCTTGAGAAAAATTTTTATAGTTGCATTTTATTTGCAGCGTACACAGCCTTACTCCCACAAAGGATTGTCCCAGAAATGTGTGACAGTGGAACGTTGGAATACATTCTAGAGTCTAGACCCATTAGTCTGGGATATGATTTCAAGGGAAATTTTGTTTTTATGAAACTGTATGATCAACATGGAAAGGCTGTTGTTTTGTTGGGATTAGGTTAACTTGTATCTTGTTAAAATATGCTCACTATTTATATGTATAGATAGGTATATAAGTTGTTCAGGCTGAAAATTGAGGAACAGTGATGATTTTGTATTTATTTTGATATTGCTCACCATACTGAAGTTGCCAGGTCATGTGCTCACATGATCAAAAATATTTTTGATTTTTATTGTGTTAATACTGTATCGTTTCAATTGTGTTAATGTCACACAGGTTAGAGGAGCCTGCTCAGTTCACCAAAGAGCAGCAAGCAATGTTACAGCAAGGTCTCATACAGCAGCCCGCACCTCCTGAGCCAATGAAAGAAGATGCCACATTGATTGTCAAGAAGCCTCGAAAGTGCAACAACATCTGGGCCAATGTTTTAGGAGAACAGGTTTCTATTCTCATCCCCGAGCAATTTGTAGATAATATTCAGTGGTCTCTGCTACTCTTATTCTATTAGTCAAACCAGAGCTAATTTCAATTTCTCCATGAACAATTTTTCTTGATGTGGAAGCTATTTTTCTGCATTTTACTTTTTTTTGTTCTTATTCTAAGTTAAGTAAGAGATAATGCCCCACTCTTTGAGCCTCTTTCAAGCACTGCAAACCTAATCCAGTTATTTGACCTACTTTACACCTCACTGTCACCATGTACTTAGCACTAATAAATAGGCTCGTGTTAACAGTTATAAGCTTACCTAAGTCTGATATTACTTAAAATCTTGTAATGCTGCAACGAGTATAACACTACCTCATAAATTATTGTTCGAATCTGTAAAATGTGCAATAAATATTTCTGAAGATCTTAAAATTCTGGCTAATCATAATTTGTTCAGAGCCTGACTGAAGAAATAGGAGTTATAGGTCTGAAGAAGCTTGAGGGAGACCGAAATGTGGAGAACTACGACTTCAGAGCGGCTCAGCAGCTGCGCAAGGCTGAGGCAGCCTCATTGCAAGCTCCTGAAGACGATGAGGAGGAAGAAGGGGAGCTGCATGACGACCTCGAAGATGGAGAAATGAAAGAAGAGTTTGTTGAGGAGGCACCTAAATTAACTGCAAGGTAGTATGATCCCAATTAGAAAGCTAACATTTTTATCTTATAAAACATTTCCGGATCAATTAATACATTTACAACAGAAGAAACATTCCTGGATCAATCAATTGTTTTTTTCTAGAATTCAACGAATTTTGATAAACTTATTGAAAGTTCAATGGAAGAGCATCACGTTAAACCTCCCAGTTGCTGCCCGTTTTCAATTTTTTCCTTTAATCATGCAAAATTATCATAATCCAGCTTTTGGAGGCACCCTATGTGGCCATGTTATAAATACCATTTACTCCTCATAGTTTCTATTGAATAAAATCTCGCAAAATTTGTTAATTAAGGATAGAGTGTATTTGTATGCAGTGGAATGACCGCTCATTGTTTGTAGATTGTCCCGCAAACGTCCGATGTCGCACCGCGTGTACCAGCCACCACCTGTGCCGGTCCCGACCGCCGCCCCTGGAGAGCCTCTGCTGCTGCCCGCCATCGACGCGTCACAACACCCCACCGACAAGTCCCTCGCTTTGGTTATCGCCAGCGCTCTGCAAGAGAACAAACCACAAATTATTGGTGACTACACTTTTCATTTACATACGGGCTGGTTGATTGGACGTTTAAGACATTAAACACTTTTCTGTCAATTCATAATCTCAGCTTTGTTTTTGTAGACTTCAAATTTTATTTCATTTGTTGATGACATTTAATAAAATTAAGTCTAGGCTGTTTGTTTCTGGCTGTATATTTTCCATCTCTTGATCTCATATTTTTGCAACTGAATCTTCATTCGTGTTATAAAGTATGTTCTCATTTATTACTGCATCCACTGTGGATTTCAAGACACCTCGATTGAAACCTAATTGTCCATTACGAAGATGAGTTATTGTTTGTTAATGCTGGCATTGTGTTCGCAGTTAATGTGGTAGAACAGTTTGGTCGTGAGTTCGCGATGCAGCTCTACAACGACACCAGAGAGCAGGAGCGTCAGGGCGGCCTTATGATTGTGGTAAGTCAACAATACGAATACATCTGGGGCTTTCACCTTAAATATTCAAATAAGTAATCACGCTGGAATGATCATAAGCATGCATTAATTTGAGCTTGCTTATGATCTTAACTCTATCATGTGATGAGTAAATGTCAGCTAAGGTTAACGATGTTAGCCAAAAATTAGAAACCTGTTGTGTGAATTGCTTTTTTAAATGAATGAAATTTGAAGATGATTAGCTGTATGCTTTGGTCGTAAATATGTTGCTTAGCTGTGTTGTATTTCTGTAAAGACTGGTGACCGGCGCCGGACGTCTGGCGGGGTCTTCCTGCAGTTGCTGAAGAAATCTAACCCCAGCAAAGACAAACTCGCCGTCATATTCCCCCCTGATGAGGCTCACCAACAATGGCGTCGACGACGACGAGCTGTGCATCGCCGTAGGAACAGAGAACGCCACGACACTGACCGGCCCAGTTAGTTCACTGGCTTTTCTTAGTGGTTTACTTCAAGAAATGAGTAATCGTAAACAATTAACTCTTGTTCAAAATTAAAATGAGTTATTTTTCTAGTTTTGTGTGCTTTCACATGTGCTCAACACTATTCAAATCGACCACTAATATACTCCGTCCTTTTAAATCATGATAATCCTCATAAATAAGGTGCTGTTAATAAATGAAACTTGTGGAACTTTTTAATTTCTTGAGGTAAAAGTTGTAGTAATGTTTCTTCAAACTTGGTTGAAATTATATCTTACATTATTTCGTCGCGTCAGATGAAATTAAAAATGTTTAGCCTTAACAAAAGTTACCTCTATGGTGATGAGCAGTTGTTTTGCTATTCAAAATGAAAAGTTACTAATCTATATCAGACTCGAATGGTACTACAGTTCAGATTTAATACGTATCTATGCAATCTATTAAACATATTTAATAACATTTTATTATGTAAAATGAATAAAGTTGCATTTTCTACTGGTTGAACATGCTGGAATACTATTAATGGTATACAGTGGGTGCAAGAATCAACCTAAAATTTTTGTTGAATTCCTTGGGGTCACCTCAGCCAGCTCGTGCGGATCGAGCGATAGCTCCTCCCGCGTGGTGGTGCCTCGCTCTCCTCGCCTGCCCTGTGACGATTCCAACGATGCATTGGAGCTGGGGGGCGCAAAATGCCCTGCCACCTCGCCTGCAGTGTCCCCAGGCCCCACTCCCACCACTACCCCCGTAGTCACCCCTCACGATAGTGACTCTGAAGAAGATAGAGGCAAAGACAAGCTCGTCGACACTGCTCTGGTGAGGGCATCGCCCGCCTTTTTTGCTTTTATACTGTGATTCTCGTAGATAGTTCCACGCGTTTTTCTTCGTAAAGCACACGCTCTCTGTTGCTATTATTTATGTAGAATATTTTTCATCATACTGTATATTAGCTATGAACTAGACGTTACAAAGCACAATTGTCATGAGAATTGATTGAGCGTCCGATTCGGGATCTGGCTACCTTACCTTCAACTCTTTCCCTGGAAAGTGATCTTTTAAAGAAACTTGAAGCCTCCACAAAATGGGACTGCTGCGTCCCTTCACTTGTGTTTCAGGCTACTTTATAATGACCGATTCTCTACTTAGCGTCCTAATACATAGTGGGAAAACCCTATCACGCATTTAAAATATAAAATAATATGCTATTAAAAATTACTTTTTAAAGACAACACTTTTAGAGAATGCAGTGTCTTTGATGTTACAAATGTACAATGAATTTCTAATTTTACTATCAAATATAAAAAAATTAATTTATAAATTTTATTTTCAAAATAAAAAAATATATTTTTTTTTATAAATTATTTATTCTGTCAATTGATTCAAGCATTATCTCCAACTTTACGCAAAAGGGCAAAAGTTCAGATCGATTGGACAGGTAGAAGTGTGTTAAATATCGATTATAAGATATGGAGCAGACAAAATTATTTTTTCAATTTTTTAATATAATAAATGATATTTTTTAGGTTTTTAAAATTATTTATTCTGTTAATTGATTCATGCATTGTCTTCAACTTTACGCAAGTGGACAAAATTTCAGATTGATTGGAGAGGTAGAAGTGTTTTAAATATCGATTTTAAGATTTGTAGCCGACAAACAAACAAACAACAAGAAGTGAATTAAAGAGAAGTGTTGTAAAGAGACGCATAATTGATGCTCTGTTTATTTTCCGTCATTTTAAAGAACGGTCACAGGCATTTTCTATCAATTGAAACTGTACGAAACTTTGCAGGCAATTGTCAAGTCGCTGTCGCCTGCTCTGCTATCTCATTCAGAGGAAGGTTTTTGCGACGCTGCAGCCGCCCCTGACGAGATGGACGTTTATTGAGTAGCCATTGCGGTGCCCTTCTGCACTCTTCGGCCCACGCGGTGGCTGGTTTCCGTTGACCTCAAATCAGGGACGACTTCTGTTCCTATTTGTAGACATTAGTGATCGATTTTGGATTAGAACATTTACATACTTATTATCGAAAAGAGGCTTGTAGCATCTCAAAGTATGAACATTTGGTAGGGGGGTGTTACTTTTGATATCATATATGATGAACTGGCCTTTAGAACATTTCACTCTTTTAGGAGTCATGAGAGAACTTTAAGAAATACTTGGATATATATAGATATTTCTATCCGGCAGGAAATTTTTTGTCTTTATTCTTCACTTGTTTTAGTTTAATGAAGCGTCTTTAACTCCTCGTTCTATTGAGCCAATGGGCATTATTTCTTGTCTCTATTATTTTTTTATATAACAAAAGATCTCATTGCGCCTACTTCTAGACTATGACATATTTGGAAGTCTCCTTTGACCTTATTCGACTATAATGCTCAGCAAGCATCGGATATTAAAACCTAAGTTCATTGTAGCGGTACTCACGGATATACTGTTGAAGGCTAACGGAATACATTTGACCTCGGAGTGAATAGTTTTCTTAACAATGAACGATATCTGAAAAGAACGATTTACCTCGTCTAGTTCATGTTCATAGTATGGTACATTGTTGAGAGATATTGTAAGATACTTTAATCTTCGCGCTCGTAGACAAATAAAATAAATATTTCAAGTACATCTTTTGTAATCCCTGGTGGATATTATGTTCAACTACGGTAACAATTGTATAGTAATTACTCGAAAAGCAAATTAATAGATTAATTAAGTTATGAATTTTATTGAAAGTTATAGTAGAGGTGTTTAGAAGGTAAGGTTGAAGTAGTGAGTGTGTGTAGACGTGATTTCTTCGATATCGTTAGACCGAACTTCATTCACACTGTACGTTGGCAAGCTTATTACCAGAGAAATTACATTTGTCGAGGAATTCAGCGGTTAATCCGAATGATAGGTATAAGTGTGCGTGGCGGCTAAGCATAGAAGAAGCTGAAACTTGTACCGAAGAGATGACTTGGGAGCCTCCCGTCACTTCAGTAGTAACCCTGGGCCAGTTTTAGAACTTTAAAGGTCGCGAGAAACTTGGACTCGTCGATACAGCTACGATTCCTATTAGAGCATCTACAAGTGATGACCAAGACTTCGTTTCATTTCTGCAGAGCCAGCATTAACGTAACGGCCATGACTACATTACGAGACTACGCGAGAAACAAGTGGACGTGCAGCGATTATAAAGGCGACTATCTAAGTAACTTCGGGAGTACGACCGGACACAGCAGAAGTACAACCACCAGCTGGTAGTGGATAAAAATGGAACCATTCACGTTTATTCCGAAGTATGTCAACAATTCTACGGTCATTGATGGCAGGAGGCGAGACCATGTCATACGGCTGCGGAAAAGCCACTAGTAAGAATACGACCGCCATTGCCATAGAGAACGTTCGTGATCGATGCTGTCGTGGCAAAGCAACGTACCACTACGAGATCGCACCACAGACGAGCAGGTAAAGACAGAAAAGTCGAACCGGAGTCAGTTATTTAATTTCGAAAGTGGTTCATTACATTTTTCAATTAAAAATTTTGTTTGCATTGCAGTAAATATCAAGTTCTGAATTTAAATACATGCCTCATTCCGGTAAACATGATTTTGTTAACTTAAGATGTGCTCTCCATTTTCACAATTTTAAATCTGTTTCAATTTAACCCTTATGTACTCCATTTGCGCGATAAATGGAATACGTGAGGTCAAAAGGAAGGAGGTTCTAGCACGATAATACCAAGGGTAGGGGTTTGTGTATGATTATACCAAGGGGAAGGGGTTGGTGTACGATCATACCAAGGGTAAAGGTTTGTGTACGAACAAACCAAGGTGAAGGGGTTCGTGTACAATCATGCCAATGGCAAGGAGTTCGTGTACGATACCAAGGGAAGAGGGTTCGTGTACGATCATAGCAAGGGGAGGGGTTTCGAGCACGATCGTACCAAGGGGAGGTGGTTCAAGGACGATCATACCATGAGTAGGTGGCTCGAGGAGCTGTACTACCTGTCATTGCAGTTTGGCTTAGTGATTGCCAATGAGAACCATTTTAACGAAATTTCTAACGCAAAGCCTGTAACATCTGTGTTTGGGCAATAACCCCAGATATTTTATTCGGTGACATTTTTCTGATTTCGATTTTATTAGGTGGTTATACACATGGTTGAACCATGGTTATACAAGCAATGGTAATAATTAAGCAGTGACCATAAAAATTTATCCTTTTCTTAAAAAATCCATAAATCTCATCGAAATATCTTTTAATGACCTTTTTCGGGTTGGATGACAGTATACGATTTCGGTTTCATTCCCGCTTTATACGGACAGGACATGTCCATAACCGGTCAATTGCAGTTATCTGATAAATTGTGTCTGCTAGTACGAGTGGATTTAAAACACCATTTTTACTATACTAGCAATTGGCCGTATGCATATGATTATTAACAGCTTCCAGTATTTTTCCAAAGTTTGAGTTTCAAGAGACCGCAGGAAGACAAATTGGCAAGATTCGTTTTTAATTTCAAAAGTAATACTATGAATTTTGCCTATTTAGACTACGCAAGAATGGGTGTTTACTGAAAAAGTGAATTTATCGATATTTAAATATGCTTTAAGTTTAACAAGACTCACAGAAACAAATTTTTAGGGTAATTTAAATTTATCACTGCAAAACAATACTGACCCTGACCCAAGACAGTACGGCAGTGGCAGAGTTATTGTGCGGTTAGGGCAGGATCTCTTACAATAAACCAAAATGTTGTCTAATGTAAGAGCCACTTCGTTTGCTGTAGGAAACTTTAAAAATTCTGCAAAACTGGTTACTCCAGGTGAGACAAAGTTTACTGAAATTACATTTATGAATATATAGTTATCTTGTTCACCACACCACCTGGTGGTGTGGAATTCTAGAGGGATAATAAATTAACCAGTACACATAGCATATTGGAAAGCAGGACCTGAAAGCTTGGAAAGGCCAGGAACTTTACACTTTCAGTCCATTATTTACATATCATACCCTTTTCAAGAATTCCATCTGTGATTGTTTGTGATTTTAGCCACTTTCAGCTTTCCAGCTGTGATTGGATAATGGAATTGTAATATCTGCTTTCTAGAGCTCTGTGATTGGTTGATGGAAATGCTTTCAAGCTGTGATTGGTTGATGGGGATGCTTTCAAGCTGTGATTGGTTGTGCCCATAAGCCCCACCCCCAAGTATGGTATATGTACTACAGTACTGGTCAACTTAATACTTAACTGAAGCTTGATCAATTCATGGTGCCAATCCATAGGTTATTCAAAAGAACCTGTTCTTATGTCATTTTGAACCGATCAACACTTCTTTATGGACCGATCGTATAACACACCTTCACCGGCAAAAGCTTTCACACTTCTGAGCGAGCTGACAGCTACAGCTACACTGGCCGTGGGGTGTGGGTGGACCTAATTTGAATTTGAATGCATGCAGCGATTCAAAATCCTATAGACTGTGATAGACATAGTATACAAGTCATAGAGCCTAAATTTTTAATATCTATAAAAAAATGTACGTTTCTGCATGTATTATNCCCCCCCCCCCCCTGGACCGGACCGGGCAATGCTCTTGCAAACGCATAAGTACTCACAATAATTCCCTGCCACCATGTTGATCATTACAAATAAAAGGCCTGGAAATTTTTTTAAAATCCATTAAATAAAAGACAAATAAAAAATATCTATCAAACAAGAGACATCCAAATAATTCTATTACAAATCTAATGTAGGTACTATACAATTGAAACATTTTGTCTACTTTTGATCCTCCTTTTCATTTATAGTCAGTAACCTGGGGTCCTGGCAGGCTGGCAGAGCACTGTATCCAAGGAAAGCTTTTCACCTTGGGTGCAGGATTGGAATTTTTCTATTTGTTTCTGAAATCTCGCGGCTTCAACATGACGAATTTTCAATACATTTGGAATCTCGCGGCTCGATATCGCACTTTTGTTAACATTTGGATAGGAGGTAATTCATCTGACGGAAATCTCGCGGTTTCAGAAATGGCGGGAAACCTCTAGTTGCGGCCCTAAAGGCAGATGTTTTCAATGCTTGCTTGGGTGGAAAGCTTTTTTATAAGTGAACTTCCAGCCATCATCATGACCACCATCATGTAGTATGATGAATGTCATTAAATGATGAATACCTATAACCTATTAAGTTACGTTGATGTGAAAAAAAAACAGATGCATTCACCGTCCAGCATTTCTAGCCTCCTCTGATAGTTAGGCTTCCATGTCAGACTGTCAGTAACTTAGCCATTTCCCACTGGCCCACAGCATTTATATTCAATAATATTGCTGCCTTTCAAAAGAAACTACCTAGGTTAGCTAGGTAGCCTATCTAGCCTATTCTGTTAAATAGGGCAATGCATAAGATAAGGTTGCATTACTTATTTCAAGATCAAGTTATTTGGCAATGCAACTGTGGAGTCAAGGGTCATAATTGTCACTAATATTGTATGCTTTTTAGTGAAAAATGTCAAGTTATACCAAGCTGGAAGCTGCTATGTGGCAGTGGCAAAGTATGTTTAAATTGTTATACCGTAAAATGGGGTAACTTTGACCACTTTTTTTCAGAATGCCATTTTTCACTAGATAAGTTAAACTTAAATTGAAACATGCAAAATACAGGTCTATACTCTAGCTTTACTCACCATAAATTGCTGGCTCCTGCCTCTCATAGTTTTGATGTAACTTAAAAAAAAGTGATGGTCTTTGTTACCACTTACCCCAGCTCTTGGGGTTTCTTTGACCGGGTGGTAAAATCAATTTTATTTTTTGGTAAAATAACTCCAAATAACTCCAGGTTGTGGTGCATTGTAGTATAACTCTTCTAGTTAGGGTAAACGCGGTATATTCCGTCACATTAAGGATGCATCGAGAAATGAAAAACTATAAAAAAATAACCGTATGCATTACTCAAGTTCTGTTTGCTTTAGGTGACTCTCAAAACACCGTACTACGCGTCGGCAACGATGAAACGTCACAAAACGTTGCCATATTTATGTAAAAGCCTTTAGAATGCAAACCTACCAAATCCCTATATTCCGTCACTGTGTGTGGCAATATTTGGCACGTGGTGAGGCGTATTCCATCCGCGCTTCAAATTCTACTGATACGTAATGCCGTCATCCACGTGTTTGAATTCCGTTTGCTGTGTGAGCTGTATTGGAATACAATACGGCTTTGAATTAGAACACTAATGAATATTGAAGTAATTGAACACTACTTAATTATGCTTTTAATTAACAACTATTAAGCTTTTAATTAAGCAAATTTTAATTTTTGTACAAAGCTTGGAACGATCTGTGTGTGTCCAATTCAAGTTGTGACGGAATTAGTTTTCATGTGATGATGTCACTGGGTAGCCTGCATTGTCTCTCTTTGGATCTCAATATTTTCCCACTAGATGGCCAAGACCTAGTGTTTTGGCAGTAGTTTGATGCACAAATGTATGACGTCATCATTTCAACCATCAACAAACGCATGGAACTAAAACAAAGCTTAATATAAAGGAAAAGCTAGAGAGGTGACGGAATTACCCACAATGACGGAATATACAGCGTTTACCCTACATATGCACAAGACAAATTTTAGGAAGGTGTCATAGTTTGCAAATGGGGGGTGCTGCCCCCAATGGGCAAAATGTGACCCCCTAATGGCAGCCATGATGGGGTAACATTGACCGGTTTGGAAATTAAGTTAAAATTACCATATATAAGACTCTGTAGAGTCTGAAACATAAAGAAAAAAACATTAATAGGTGTATCAAACATAAAATATGTTATATAGGTACCTATGGTAATTTTAACTTAATTTCCAAGCCGGTCAATGTTACCCCATCACAGCTGCCATTAGGTGGTCAAAGTTCCCCATTGGGGGGCAGCACCCCCCATTCGCAAACTATGACACTTTCCTAAAATTTGTCTTTTGCATATGTAACTAGAAGAGTTCTACTACAATGCATCAAAACCTGGAGTTATTTTACTAGAAAATGAAAAAATTGAAGGGGGTACTCTGACAGGCTTTAAATAATAGCTCTTTTTCATGGGTCACATTATTAATTTTTTAACCTATTAGATATGCAAACTTTTTAAATCTTTCTATTGTGTTACATAGCTAGCCTCAGTATTAGGCCTTTGATGGCCATTGACAAAATTTTTCTATGTCAAATCATTTTTGAGTTTTGGAGGTTTTTGTTAAAAAAACGAAAAGTGGTCAAAGTTACCCTGCCGGTCAAAGTAACCCCATTTTACGGTATTGGCAGCATCTGGCATAGTGGCATAACTGAGACTCACTCGCATCCCGTGTTGGCAATGCCACCCTCAATCAAGTTAACTAGTCATTTATCTGTAGGCTAGTTGACAAATTTTTTGCAATAAATATGTTCTAAAAAAAAAAACACATCTACATTCGCAAAAAATTCTCACGATTGGACAATATGAACAAAGTTTGTGATATCGCACAAATTTGTGAGATTAGCTGCAATTTTTTCAAGACGTACATTCACATCGAGCTTCTACGATTACATTTGACATGGCGGTGTCACACACATTTCTTTTGGTCATGTCAAGTTTGATTTCACAATAAATAGACTTGATCCACATTCCATACTGAGATTTAAATGATTGAAAGTTGTTTTAAATTTTAAAAACCCATTGATACGTTCCAGATTTAAATTTTTTTCTTTTTTTCCCTATTATGTTAAATTTATTTTAATAACTTCACTTCAAATTCTGAATGATTTCGTCTGCCATCATGAGTTTTTGAAACTTTTTTGTCTTTTAGAAAAATGTTTGTTGTTTAAAAGAGGAAACTATTTCATTATATAAAACATAGAGAATGTACCATGAGGTGCAATGGTGCATTAATACTACAATTTAATTTGATAAAAATTAATTTTTAGACTCTACTTCTAGTAGGTATGTGCTCAAAAAAGATTTTGTCCTGAAGTCCTGATCATAGGTCAAATCTCTTAAATTTAAAACAAAAAAATGTAGAAAAATACCATATAAATAATTAAACACATGTGGAATACAAATGAAAGTGAAAAAGCTACAAATTTTTTCCATTATTAAATTGCATCTTAACACGTTGACTACGTATTGGTACATATGCGTACCACGAAATGTATTTCTCCAGGAGGTAGTGGTATACATAATTCAGGTTGCCTAAAATCGGCCAAATCCGAGAACAAAAAAGGCCGATAATTCACTGTATACCGTAAAATGGGGTAACTTAGACCGGCGGAGTAACTTAGACCACTTTTCGTTTTTTTAACAAAAACCCCCACAACTCAAAAACTATTTGACATAGAAAAATTTTGTCAATGGGCATTAAAGGCCTAATACCTGTCTCTTATACACATCTAGATGTGTATAAGAGACAGGTCTAAGTTACCCCAAGAGCTGGGGGAACAAAGACCATCACTTTTTTTGAAATTACATAAAGACTATGAGAGGCAGGAGCCAGCAATTTATGGTGAGTGAAGCTAGAGTATAGACCTGTATTTTGCATGTTTCAATTCAAATTTAATTTAGCTAGTAAAAAAATGGCATCATTTATAAAATAAAAAGTGGTCTAAGTTACCCCATTTTACGGTATTTAAAATATAATTAGGAAGTACCCCTATCATAAATTTTAGCCGGCCAATGCAATTGAGAAAAATTAAATCACAGAATTTGTCCGGAAAAAATGACCGCCAGGCTACCCTGCTTAAAAAAAGTACTGTAAACTGGGGTAACTTAGACCACTTTTTTTTAAATGATGCCATTTTTTTTACTAGATAAGTTAAACTTAAATTGAAACATGCAAAATACAGGTCTATACTCTAGCTTCACTCACCATACATTGCTGGCTCCTGCCTCTCATAGTTTTGATGTAATTAAAAGAAAAATTGATGGTCTTTTTTACCCCAGCTCTGGGGGTATCTTAGACCGGGTGGTCTTAGTAACCCCATTGGGTCTTCTTAGTCACCCCATCTTGGTTTAAGTTGCCCCCAATGTTAATAATTTCGCAAGTATTTAACAATACACTTTATTTATCTTCACTTACAGTGAATACAATATTAACTTTTGAGCAAAATACACACAACTGGCAAAAAAATTTCCATTTTTTGAACATATTTCAAAGAAATAAACATAGCTAACTGTTCCTTTTATAAATATATGCACTAACTTCCTTTTGTAAATAAACATAATAACTTTCTTCCATAAATGTAATAACTTTCTTTCATAAACATAAAAAATGTTCCTTTTGTAAATAAAGACTGAATCACTGACCTAAGCTAATGCCTACAGACTTACATCAAGAGCAGCATTGAACACATACTGCTCTCTACTATTAAACTTATAAGGCACGTCATTTATTTCACAGATGTCCTTCATCTCCACTGAGGCTGTGTCATCTTTAGCCACTGTAAATACAATCTTGGATTCACTTGCATGGAGGAATGTGACAGACACCTCAGTCTCATCAAAGTGATCAACAGTGGCTAAATATTTTCGATGTTTGTCACTGCTGTTGTTGACATAGACTTTGGTAATCACAAAGCTACCCACTTTAAGTGCACTGCTTTTAGTTATTGTTGAGGTGCAGGATCCTTCATCAGTGGCACTGATAGGAGCAGTTGTTTTTAATTTCTTGGTAGGGGTGGGTTTCACTTTGTCAGATGTATTGCCTGCTGTAGGGGCCCCAGAACTAGGAGAGGGTACTTCTTTCTGCACCTTTGATGGTGTGCCTGCTGGTGTACCTGTACAGGGAATACAATATTAACTTCTTAGCAATGAACACACAACTAACAAAATTTTTTCATTTTTTAACACATTTCAAATAAATAAACATACCTAATAGCTAACTATTCCTGTATTACCTGTTGTAGGGGTCCCAGAAGTAGGAGAGGGTATTTCTTTCTGCACCTTTGATGGTGTGCCTGCTGGTGAAAGCATTGGTGTCAATACTCTGGCACTTCTGGAGTGTGTAGGCCTGACATCATTTGTTTCTTCTGAATCTTGGTCAGTATCCATGTCTGTGCTCTCTGACTCAGCATTATCTCTCCTTGCAAGCAAATCCAGTTTCCTCTTAACATTCTTTTGAACTGCGTATGCAAATGGATCTTTTGATGTTGAAGGGTGCATGTCAAAAGTGGATTGGCCAGATACTTCAGCTTCATCTTGGTTTATTGTTGACACAACACGAGTGCCAGCTTGAATTTTTGCTCCTCTTCCTCCACGATGTGCTCCTCTAGCACATTTTGGAAACTTCTTCTCTTCAAGGTAATTGACAAAGGTATTTGAAAGACTGCTTGCTTCAGGTGATTCTTCAATCACAAGGGAAGAGGATGTAGTGGAACTGGTAGCCCGTGATAAGACTGGTGTGGCATCTTTACCAGTACGAGTGTTGCCCAGTCTGAAAAGCAGGTTAATTATGTCTAAGGGGAAAATCCCAGTACCCCTGAAGCCACTTTTCAGGTTTTTTTCAATGTTTGGATAGAATGAAGGGTGTTTGAAGAGTTTGTTCACCTGTTTTGGGAAGACTTGCTTGTTCACTATGCTTACATATGGGTTTTCTACTTTGAACTCCTCCAGGACATGTTTCCAGGCCTTCTTCATAGGTTCAAAAAATGTGACATCCAGTGGCTGTGTTTTATCTGTGGAGTTAGGGGGAAGGCAGATAAACTTGGTGTCATTGTCTTCTGCTAGTTTGAGTACAGTCTCTGAGAAGTGAGCACTCAGATTATCACCAATAACAGCCTTGGGCCCATCCAGGTTTTGAAGGTGAGGCAAGAGGAGTTCACTAAACCACTTCTGGAAAGCATTAGTATCCATCCAGCCACTGGCTGTGTTATGGAATTGTGTGCCGTTCTTACAGCAGCAAAAATGACAGCAAGGATCTCCTTTTGGACCTCCTTGTATCCATGATGTGTAGAGGTTGTCACTTTTGTATATTATGAAAGGTGGCAACAATGTACCATCAGCAGATCCACACAACATCATCGTGACGCAGCTCTTGCTCATATTAATAACCTGGTCAGGATACTTGACACCTCTGCGATATAAGAATTTTGAAGCGCTGGTATTGTCTGCTAGGTTTGTCTCATCGTAATTAAAGATATGACTGGGAGGAATGCCCTGGAGCTTGATTGTTAACCTTTCATGGTAATCCCTCAACTCTGCCTCCCCCACAGAGGCTCTGCTCCTTTTAATATCATTGGATACTCTCTTTCTGACCTCACTATGCTGCTTAATGAAGGGCAGGACCCAGTCTGGGCCTGGTAAATTCATAGAAAACATGGGAACGGTGCGCCCTCCTGAATCAAGGTAGCTTTTGACTATGATGCGTAAGTCCATTGGTTGGAGAGGGAAGCCATAGTCACTGCACTGAAGTGTCCACTATAAGGGCCTCCTCTACCTGTGAGAGAATAGTCTGTCGTCCAGGACTAAGCACAGTTTTTCCATGCACTCTGTTGAAAAGAACACACTTGCCAATGCCATACTGCTTTGCAGCTTTTGTCTAACTTATTTCCTTGTCTTTGATCTTCTGCACTACTTTATCAACAAGATCTCCACTGTAATGCTGGTAGGTACGAACCCCCTTTGGACGTTTGTAGGTCCTAGGCATCTTGAACTAAGGTCAATACTTATAAGTTTAAACTCTATATCTAACAATAATTCGAGTCTGTAGAGTCTGAAACATAAATAAAATACATTAATAGGTGTATCAAACATAAAATATGTTATATATGGTCATTTTAAATTAATTTTCTATCCGGTCTATGTTACCCCGTCAGGGCTGACATTAGGTGGTCTAAGTTCCCCCATTGGGGGGTGGCACCCCCCATTTGCAAACTATGAGACTTTCCTAAAATTTGTTTGTTGCATGGTATGTAACTAGAAGAGTTGTACTACAATGCATCAAAACCTGGAGTTATTTTGCCAAAAAATAAAAAAATTGGAGGGGGTACTCCGACAGTCTTTAAATAATAGCTTTTTTTCATGGGTCACATTTTTAATTTTTTAACCTATTAGATATGCAAACTTTTTAAATCTTTCTATTGTGTTACATAGCCTCAGTATTAGGCCTTTAATGCCCATTGCCAGAATTTTTCTATGTCAAATAGTTTTTGAGTTTTGGGGGTTTTTGTTAAAAAAACGAAAAGTGGTCTAAGTTACCCCGGGAGTCTAAGTTACCCCAGTTTATGGTGCAAAAAATGAAATAATAGTACAAGATGAAGTAATCGTAGTCAACGTGTTAAAAATTGACCACCAAATCAAAACATTTTGGTTGAGACTTTGACTGCAGGTGGGTGGGGGAAACAGGTGTGACTGATAGATATGGATGATATAAATTGACCAAAAATGGGATTGAACAGAATAAATTCCAGTTTGAATAATAATAAAATGTGATAAATAAATGATAAACAAATGATAAATGAATAACAAATGAATGATGAATTAATGATTAATTAAAGATGAATGAATGATGCAGGTGGGTTCCTTGATGCCTTCATCATATGATAGGTTAATGATGATAATAAGTAATTATGATAAGTTAATGATAATAATAAATAGTAAATAATGATTTAATAAATTATTAATACTTGTGCAAGTAGTACCGCATCACCTAACGCCATTGCAACTGCCATCCCTAGGCCAGGCTGACAAGCACTTGACAAATTTCAGTAGTAAGTAGTCCAGGAGGTAGGTGCAAGTAAACAATTTCATGTAATGATGTCTGTGTAACTGTAAAATTGTCCTAGTCAGTCTATTATATGCAATAAACTTGTAAGCTTAAAATATGAACTGAAGTGGGAATTTTGATGCTGATGTGTTGCAAAAGATCTTTGAATATTTACCCACTCTCTTCACCCTGATAGCACTGTCAGCACCACAAGCATACTGCCAGGGTACAGAGAGTGGGTGAATATTTGATAATTTTTGGCAACACATCTGCATCAAAAGATCTCTTCACAAGATTTTCCCCACACATTCCTTGTTAGAAACAACTTAAATGCATTTTTGGGAAGAAATCTTGAAGGTTTAGGTTGGGAGTTCTTGCAATAAATCCTCAACAATATTGATAACACTTTGAGCATAAAATCCTTATCTTTTCAACACAATTTCCAAATCAAACTCCGCAGAGTGGACAAACTCTAGTACTGATGATCACTGTTTTTTATATTCCATTTTATTCCATTCAAATTGTTCATTCATAGAATTTTACTGATACATTCCATCAGTTTGCTCAAAAAACTTGTGCAGTAATGAACAATTAAAAAAAATATTTTAAATTTTAAACCAATTTGCAAATGCTCTAAGATTTTATTTTATTTATTTGAACTATACATACCTTTTTTTAAATGTGCTATTACCGTGTTTTATTCCCTGTAAAACTGTACGTGTAGACTGAAATTCTCATAGCATTACCTATATTATTTTATGTATTGATATACATTTTCTCATGATGTTCTCTTTGTATACAGGCCTGTGCCAAGCTCGCTCCTCTCACACAGACCTTAAAGTACCTGATTTTAGTGATGTGCGCCACCCTGCTACTCTGGACCCTACGACCCCCACCAGTGAAGAGAGAAGGAAGCTCTTCAAGTACATGGTACTTGGCAGTAAGTATCACTTTAGTTCCACCATGTGATGGCTATGAAATAAAAGACTGGGACTGCTTCGTCCCCTCCTGCTACTGATATCCCTACTGATACATTGATCCCTCATACTCCCTTGTAATAATTTTAATTTTTTGGACTTTTTATGATGAATGAACTAGAAGGAACTGCATTCATGTTACTGATAGAGAATTTCAAATCTCAACAAGGCTCAAGACTGCTATGTTGCACTGAAAATTTAGATGAAATATCTTCATGTATGCACATTATTTTGTATGTAATAGTCTTTAGAGTTATTAAATTATTATCTTACAAAAGTTGTTGAAGCTTTGGTGAATGTTGTATTCTATCATTTAGTCTTTTTTTTAATTGAGTCATTCTGTGTAGAATTCATAAGATATTTATTGCAGTATGTCCATCATTCACTAGTTGACACAGAATATTTAAAAGGCTGAGAAACATTGGCTGCCTGGTACTTGAAAGTTATTTTGTTCAAGATAATAAGTGCTTGTATTGTGAAAGTATCTGCTGGATTCTAATAATTCTGCATTCTAACCAATGGCGATGTATACTGTAGAGCTAACCGTTTTGATAGTTATGTATAATGCAACGTAATATGGAAGTGTGCATGCTAAAGAGTTCAAGATTGTAGCGTTAATAGTATAGATGGTTTAACTTTCCTTAGTTAGAATTAATTAGTATATTTATCTACAAACTCTTTTCAATCCTTTGGATATAGCTCAGTTCAATTTTAATGTTCGACTCTTTACAATGCTGGAAATGTAATTATGTAAATGGGAATCAAAAGCTTTAAATTACATTGCTATGCTTAAAAACTGAGGTTTCCTTTACTGTATTCAAGATATATTTAAATCGTTCAAATACTTTTATGGTGAAATAACCAATCATTTCAAAGCTTTATTAAAGTTAGGAAAATTCTTTGCCGTATAATGGAAAATGGTACTGTGACTCTATGACCATTGACATAGTCACAGTTAATCATCTTCATCATCAGTTAACAAATTAATTTTGGCATGTATAATCAATTGGATGTCTAAAAGATGAGATCATTGACCTGCAGGTGCGGCATCTGCTGGGGCTGTGCTCGCCAAGGGCATTGTCCGAGGCTCTGTGAACCACTTTGCACCCAGCAAGAGTGCCTTGGAAGTTGCCAGCATTGAGGTGGAGACGTCGAAGATCCCAGAAGGCAAGAGCTTGGTGGTCACATGGCTTGGAAAACCCATCTTCATCAGGCACAAGTAAGCTTTAATAACTTTATAATTTCTCAGGATAAGTCAAGTTCGTTGTAAAGGTTGATGTGAAATGAGGGTTTTTTTTTTGTTGTTGTTGTAGTTCAGTTATCAATGTTAAATTAAGAAGAGCACAGGAGTGTTGAACTTTTGAATGACCTCAGTAATCTGATCGGTTTGATGGCATGAACTGATTGGTAGTTCATGGGTTTGACTTTTATTTGACACAACTTTGTCAGTAAGGTATGAGAGGTTCCTGTACAGCCGCACAGAACTTGGCAAACCCACTAGAAAAAGCGAATATTCGGGCGTGAAAGTTTATTAACTGGAAAGCCATTCATCTATTCGGATATTTACCAACTTCCGAGAAACCGAGATTTTGGTTGAGACTTATGAGAAAACTGATATATATATATATATACACACGCATATATAGGATCTAGTTGAATCTAATCATCCATTTCAATCGACTGAATATTGAGAAAGTTCTGTTATCAACGAATGACAAAAAACCAATTTCAGCTAAGAAAACAATTTCAAGCTAATGTGACAATTTCAAGCTAATGTGACGTTTGTTAAGGACGGATGCAGAAATTGAAGAGCAGAAGGCTGTTGATGTGAGCTCTCTTCGCGACCCCGTCCCTGACGTGGACCGCTTCCCTGACCTGCGCTGGCAGGTGCTCATCGGCGTGTGCACGCATCTCGGCTGTATCCCCATCGAGGGCAAAGGTTCGAATATTAATTGAAGTTATTAAGGCTGGACTGAAAGCCGTCAAATTTGAAAAACTTCTTAGATAACTTGATCAGCATGATGCTATGTGACCATTATAACGGTTTGTCTAAAATATTCAGGTGACTTCGGCGGCTACTACTGTCCATGCCACGGCTCACATTACGACTTTGCTGGGCGCATTCGTAAAGGCCCTGCTCCCAAAAACCTGGAGGTTCCCCCGCACAGGATTTCTGGTGACCTCCTTATAATTGGATAGACTAATATTTATTTCGATCCACAGTAATGCACATTTATTAAGAACTGATAACAATGCTTGTGAATAGTAAGGAAAGTAAATTAAATATTGATTACATGTTAACCTAAATTTCTTGCTTGAATTTCTTTGGCATAGAATTTTGTCAAGCGAATACAATGGGCTTGAAGCTGCGCAATATTGGTCTTACCAAAAGCAAAACTGCCAGCATAGAAAGAATATTTCAATCACGATCGTTATTTCGTTGCAGTTCCATGTTTGTAAATAGTATAAATGGTAACTTAAAATAAATAATAACTTCAACATCTTATTCACGTTGAAATATGTGGAAACTGATGTGTAACTATTTTTATTCGCATGCTATCCTTGCAATAATTACAAGTCATCCACGAGGTGATGTAAGATATGAATCTACAATATAGGCCTTCTAAATTGAGTCTTTTGAAGTAGTCGGTTTGTTGCCCAGGAACATTAGCTTCACGCTTCTGTATTGCATATCCATTACCGTGTAATTCTGAAGGTTTACCTAACCTTAAGACTAAGAGACTATTTGCTATCACGCCACCTAACTAAGTTGAATTTTATGATGCCTGCTCAAATGGTCTCAATAATTGAACGATGTTTTAGTTGTGCGAGGTGAAAATATTTAAAACAAATTCTCAATTTGCCTGCACACTTTAGTGCAGTAGAAAGTCCTTTGAATTATCTTGGCTAACTTTATCAGTACCAAGGCATGGACATAGCTTTCTATCAATTACACCTGGGATGTAAATACATAAAAAAATATAAATCTATATCGCACGAGGCGATCGAGTTAATACTCTGCTGACTGAAGGATTCCAAAATAAATGGAATACTACTCTTACGATTAGAAATCCCCAAATTGTCTCTTCAAGAATTTAGAACACCTGCATGACACAATTTTTCAAATACCTCCCCCTATTTATAATCGCGAGAATCTTTTACTCGTCAGTTCTTCAAGCTGACAGAGCAGGTCACGGGTCCAGAGGTTTGGTCCAGTCATCATGCTTGAAAGTCCAGCGCTGCGAAGGGATATCTTCGCATGGGTTAAGCGTCAGGGCCGTAGGATGCGCCACGCCCGCGATATCCAAACACTTGCCTGAAAGAACGTGCACGATGTGTCGAGTATCTTCGTCGTAAGTCCACTTCTGGCGGTCATACTCATTGCACGCCATGAGCCGTACCTGCGGGTTAGGAACGGTCCGAGACTCAGGTACATCCAGACAGACACTTTCGTCCGTCATGATGAATCCTTTCTTATTGAACACGAAACTTTGAGGCTGATAAAACTCTATAACACAGTCCTGGAGGATGGCAGGGCCTGTGGGTTGACTACTACTCCCCGTGATGGGCTGCTGTATGCACTTCGCCTGCTTTTCGTGACGTATCTGAGGACAGGTAACAGCAATTAACTCACATGCAGTAGCGAACGCGCCGTAATTTGCACGTTCATCAACAGGTATTCACTAAGAAAGTCTAGAATCAGTGTAGAAGTTAAATTATCATTTAGGGTTGAGAATCTCAGTAGTCTTGTCAATCCATTTATTTATGATACGCTCATCCATTAATATCGAATGGAACCAGGCGAGTGATCAATCTAGATTTGCTAATATTCGCCCACATACGAGGTTCAAAGATCCTGCAATTACCTTGCCAAAGAAGCTATCAGGCATCGGGAAGAAATGTTGCGGCCAAACATTCTCGAGGTACCATTGGAAGCTCTTACAGTTCAGCCTGTCGCGCAACTGTCGTCTATCCGCCACGGACACACTCTTCCGTTCCTTGTTGGCATCTGTGTGTTAAAGATTAGAAAAATATAAATCTGTACATGGGAGTATTGTGCCGCTTTAAATACCTAAATACCTAATACCTCGATTGTAACCGAATGCTGTGCCATAATGTAGTATATACTCTACAATTATATGTTTGTTCAAAACTTATAATAGAATTAAACTATAATAAGGAATGCGTGCGATGTTTTTAGTCTCGAGGTACCAATTGTCGAAGAGCTCACCAGCGTTCATCCTGAAGTAGAAGTTACTCCAGTCGTCGAGCCAGACCAGAGCGACACGAGCCAAGTTACGGTACAGGACGCCACCCACGCCACCCTCGCCAGGGAACGTGTAGGGTGAGCTTTTCCTGAACACGTGCCCTACGTGACTGCACGGCGCGATCTCGATGCTGCCTCCACACATCCAAACCTGGACACAATCCAGCACCGAAACTAATAATATGTACCGAACCCACCAAATTATATCAAAGAAACAAATGTCTGGGGGCATGACCGCCTGAAATCATCTAAAGGTTTCAATTAATTATGATTATTTCAATGGCATGGTAAATTTAACTAAAAATTCTTACTAACCCGGAACGACATCTCTAAATTTTCGCCGCCCCAGATGTCCATGGAATTATCGTAGCTGCCAAGACTGTAGAAATAATTCCTGTCAATACTGAACAGTCCGCCAGCCATCGCAGGAGTCCTGTGGCAAGGACAAACCAAGAAATCAATATTATTTACAAATTGGTTCTTAACAATAAGCGATATATGGTAAATGATGAAACTTTTAGCTCAAGTATGTAAAAAGCACATGTAGAAACTGACATTACTTTAGCACCAAAACGTGTAGAGAATGCAGTAGACATAAATATTTTTGAAACTGAATTATGACCGCTAAAAATCAGCCTCACTTTCTAAGCTTATTTTATGACTTACTTGTACGCTTGAGTGATGTTTGACCTCCGCACATCCACCTGCTGGCTGCCAAGCGTAAACCATCTAAAAACAAACATTTTTTTGATCAGAAACTGGCAAAGAGTAAGAAACGGCTTACAGGAGACTTATTTTTCCAATTCACCTCAAATATTACAGTAGTTGCTCCCAGAATATTGAATGGATCTTTACAAATTATTAAAAAACAGAGATGTTATGCCTTTAGATCTCTAAATGAGAAGGCGTCTTCATGCGACACTCGCCTAAAATGAAGATTCCAGTTGAAAGCTCCCCAGTGTAGCTCGAAGGAGCGCACGTACTGGAACGTGTCCTCGTGTATTATGTCAATGATGGGGCACACCACACGCGTCTTGTCCTCAGCAATGGGCGACAGTAGCGGCTCCAGCCAGCCTGTACATTAAATGAATAGGTGCTTCATTGAGAACGCGAGCGTTAAGTATTATCCGATTGAGAATAAATTGAAAGAAAGAATTTGAGAACGAATGAAGGTGTTGTTGCGGAACTTCAAAGAGAATTTTGTTCTTCGTTTATTTAGAAATTACTTTCTTTTTTGAATCGAATACACGGTCAGTACGCATGGTATTGCATTCAGAAATTGAGAAAAAAAATCATGACGAATATAATTGTTTTCCACTGTAGTTGACTTTGATTGAAATCAAAGATCTAAAATTGAATTGAAAACCCATCACAATGAGCGAAAAAATTCGAATTTGCAAGGAAAAAATTGCATCTTTAAGAACGTATTTTCACATCAAGCATGCACTAAAAAGTAAGATGAGCTTTCCTAGAAGCGAGATACTTTAGTACGCATTACGTACTTATATACCTAATGTAATAAATTGATAAAGCAGCTCGTGTCGTGCTGTATTCTCCTCACCGGTGGTGACTTCGCAGTGGGCGTCGAGGAACGTAAGCACCTGCCCTCTAGCCTGCTGTGCCCCCAGGAGGCGGGCGCGGACCAGACCTGTCCGTGTGACCGAGCGAATGATGCGCACAGGCACTGGCAACGACGCCACGTGCTCTTCCAAGGGACGCTGATAGCAACAATTAGGTAATTTGTATCAGAAATCATTAACCGTGACATCACAAAGATTAAAAAATCTTTTTTTGTCACAGAGCGTAAAAAGAAATTGCCAATGATTTAAAATTCCCCCGGAAATTTCCAACGATATCAAAACAATAAATGTAAAAGCAAAGACATGTGAATTTAAAATATGAAGGTGGATAGATACCTTGAGAAACTCGCGCTGTGAACTGTCGTCAACAAGTATAATTTCAGCGAGCAGCTCCCGAGGCGAACGGTTGATAACGGAGTGTACGGTGCGCAGCAGCGTCGACCAAGCCTCGTTGTGGAACACGATGATGACTGACGATGTCGGCAACGTCGATACCTTGAAGTCTAGTTGCTGGCATCTGATAGGAAATCAAACATAGAACGTCGAGAACTGCCAAATTTTTGGCCAACAGCCACTTTGAAAAAGGTTTTACTTACTGTCAAAAGCTTTTATTCTTAAGAAAAATAAGAAGAGATCAAAACCCAATAAATGGAGGAAGTAGCTAGAAAATATGATGGCATCTAAGAACAAGCTATGAAAGAAGATACAGAACATAAATGCTCTATAGCAGGCAGGGAATTCGACAATATTGCGTATAGCTCACTGTTTCTTCCTGACATCAGGCAGAGTGCGGTTAAGAGGAATTCTGTCCGAGGCGAGGAGGTTGAACTTGTTGATGTGGTAGAGGAGCTGCATGCGCGCGCCCTCCCAACTGCCCAGTTGCACGGGAGCGCCCATGGCACCAGCTTTCGGGTGAGGCGAGAACCCGTTCGTGTTCAGCAGCTCTGCAGCATTGCAAGCATATTCGTTGAAAATAATGAATAGTACTTCTACAACAAATCTGTTTAACTGAAATTGAACCGATTCAAACTCGTCAAGTAAATTTTGTACCTAAAAATTATAATTTATAGAGGCAACATATATATATTTTCTTAAAAGACGAACATAGTAGCAAGACCAATAGGTTAGTAACTCACCCTCTGTTAGGTTGGGTCCGGGCGCTCCCGGTTTGTCATCTCCAAGGTAGTGGCCAACCACAACGTGGATACCGTGACGGTCGATGTACTCCTCTTGATTGCTGTGTCGGGACCTGCAGTGCAGAAAATAGCGACCATTGCCTACTGCTCGTGAGAACCCAGCGGACAATTGGACAACAGTCTCTGTGTTGTAGAACTTATGTGAAACATGATAAAGACAAAATATAAATATGTAATATAAAAATAAAAAACACGGTAGCGAAACTTAAACCTGCAGACTGGTCGAAGACGCACGTTAGAGTCGAGAATGGCTAGTTGGTCGGGATATTATTACTCAGTTGAGAATTACGAGCCGCCCAGATTGGTGAATACAAAAGTTCACATCAGCGGGATAAGCATAACAATAGGAATTTAAATCAAGACTCGTGTAATGGATAGGAATGTCTGAGAAGTTGAATAATGGACTCACTTGAGGGGGATGAGCACGTCAGGATGTCTGAGATACAAGGAAGGTGACCGGACGAGCTGCAGCAGCAACAACAACATCGACATGGCTGCCGTCACGCCGCTCACCAGCCGCCAGCGGCGACGCGCACACACGCCGCGCATCCTGCAACATATGCCACAATCACAGCGCGGTTGACCACACTTTTTTCATCGCATGGATGCACCTTATTTGCTAAGCTACCATATTTAACGTCACTGAGCCAGGCAAGTTAAGTCATTTAATGAGTCACCTGTCGTTAATGACAGTCCGATTCGCTGCATAATAAGTTCATTGGCGCAGAATGATAAAAAATTACACGCAATTTCTGTTATAAAAACGTTGCTTTTAAAATTTGCCGTTCGGAAAAATGTACAAAAACTTGATTTCAAGCTTCGTTATTTTAGAAGAAAATATGTTGGGAAAAGTACACCGATTTACGCACTGTCTCGCGAATAGTTGTATATTACGACCACCCGAGAGCTGTTCACTCTTAACAATGGTGAGAACACTGCGATAACCACACGCAAGTTGTCCAATTTAAGCGAGCTGCGCGATGACGCCTTTATTCACGTTACCCCACTGCCGAGCAACGCGTTCCCCTGGCAAGGCAACCTCCTGAACATCCGTAGCAATCGTGATAATGGACCTGATAATGGATTAGGGGAAAGTGCAGTGAGACATGGGGGACAGTGGGACACTTCAATGATTTTTTTTATTAAAAGGTAATATTTAACAAGTTTAGAATTATAACTGCACACTGCATTGATTTCATTGGCAGAGAGAATTATTAAACCTTTGATATTTGAAATAATTGACGTATCTCACTGTCACCCATGTAACCCACTTTCTACTACTCGCACTATAAAATTTTCATGAACGCAGGAAAGTGACAGAATGGATAATTCGTGAAATTTAAAAATAGTATAGAGTTTATATACCATTCTACAAGGTAAGTTGGAAGTCGTGTCAACAGGCAAATTGCTAAAATGTATTTATTCTTTTGTTTTTAGAAAGTAGATAGTACGGTACGCCACTTCATTCTTTCCAATACAAACGTTAGGTTAGTTGATCATTAATAGTGATCATCGTACCTTTGCTGTCTTCACCATTAATCTGCAGAAAGTTTACATGTCCTTCATAACAATATAATTAAATAAAATTCACAACCAATGGAACTCAGCCGGATAAGCATGTCTGTGCGCGGCAGATCCTGTGGCTGAGCCCGTTGCTCAGCCTCCCCGCATCATGGCTACGATTAGCGACCCATCGACGCGAGCAAAACAATTTCTGTTCCGGTGAGTGCAGCGCATTTTTAGCAACAACTTCCGCTGCCACACGAGAGCAAAGTCATCCTGATGACCTGTAGCATTCTCAACATCTGCTATTATGTTCAAACTTCTCAACGATGCCGTCTAAGTGACGATGCCGTCTCAATCCGCCAAATAATTCATAATTCATTCAGTTTCATGAAGGAGAAGGCGAAGTTGTGCGCAAGGATAATAGCAAATTATTCTCCGAAAAATAATGAGCAGGTTCTTTCACGGGAAGTTACTGTAAAAATATAAGTAACGAAAAACAGAGTTGATAAAAAATTAAGTGCTTCAATCTGTACCGATGAAAGAAAGGTCTGTTTTGTTTCCCTACATACAGAAATAATTGAGACCGATCAACTGATCGAATTGGAAAGAAACAGGATAGCATTCATGTAATTGAGGCTGGATTATTATGAACAGACGACCTGCATCCGGCAAACTTACCTCTAACAAAGACAAGCCGCAATATCGGCACGCCCAGTGTTACGATGCGCGACACATCCAGCGCACGAACAGGGATAACACGAAAAGCACGGTGAACAATCCTGGTAAAAATATCCCAATCTTTACAGGTATTTGGTGCTTGCATGATGATACCGTAAACAGCGCACAATTTCCGATTATACTACGATACAAAAATAATCGAGGTCATTAACTAAAAAAGCGTGCAATGGCATATTTCGCCCAAAAAGGATACTTCTTATCTTCGAATTTATACATTTAATTTAAATTATCAAGAGTGTAGTTAAATTTCGATTTCCGAATTATTGTTTAATGATCGATTATATGAACGATCTTTATCTTTTCAAGTAAAAGCTCGCCCCCCATCAAATATATTAGTGACTCGTCTCGAGGTACAGCCGAATAAACTAGTAAGTGCTGGGAGACTTGACATCTGAACTTAAATCCTAAACTTCACCCATCTCCCTCCTAGCTACAGCAAGGATGTCAGCAATTTTAGGTAATGGCAGTAATAGCGCACTAGAGACGAGTAACGGCTCTAAGCAGGACAGCTATTCCCATCCCTACTAAGTCCAAGAACAATGGTGTTGGTATTCATCATCCATTCAAACCAAATAAATTTAGAACATCGATTTCTTAAACAGGGAAGAGAGTTCATTTTAATAGAAACTTGGTGTAAATTAGGGAGGTTACCTACATATTAATCAGAAAAGTGTATCAAATCCAGAAAAAAGAGCAACATTGGATCAAATAATGATCCTTTTCTACGTCCGCTAAAATGCTTTGCACAAACCAATGTCGGTAAAATTGAAGGATGGATTGAATCATAAAGCAGTAAAGAAATAAAACACTCTCATTAACACGTATTTAGTTGTTTCTAGAGTAGATTAATCATCCGCGACTGAATTGTAAAGTCTGTAAATGCAGTTTTGATCACGAGCATTTACTAGACGTTTATATTTGCGTAGACGCTATTGAGTGAACTCGTATCTCACAGGTGTTTTGGAGCTACACAGAAATTACCTTCTGAAAGTAGCTAAATTATTTAAAGTAACATTACTCGTAGCAATGAAAAATAAAATTACATTGATTTAATATAAAACGATCAAAAATATGTGACTTGGATTATAAGGGTAACGTATTCGAAAGCAGTGATGACAAAAGATTGGGCCGAGGCCTGACTGCAACGAGAAAAAGTATGGGAACGGTACGAGTGAAGGATAAGAATGCGCATCCGTTGGGTGACGTCCCCAATACAATTCAATGCAACAGAATGTACTGTCGAACTATAATGGAATTGATGTTGCAACTCGTAAACATCTTGTTGAACTGAATGACATGACCGGAACTTTGCGCAGGCACAAGTCACCAATAAGCGGACAGGTATATCGGAGTGCACACTGCACAGTAATGCCAGGAAGAGTAGGAGCACATGCTGACTGTAGTTTACGTCTGGGGAGTTTGTTTACACCATGTTTACACTCGGTTTGTTTACAAATTTACCCTTGACGCTTGGCCGGATCTAGGCATGCCAGCCGTCACGGCGTAGAAAATTATAGAGGATCAAGCTCCAACTCCAACCATTTCAACGCCGTCAAAGAGATACAAATTCCAAGTTACATGACGTTCAACCGATCGATTGAACAAGAGACATGTTTGATTTCTAGTAACAGAGCAGTGCGAATAAAATTAGACTCTAGAACTTTATATGCAGGGTTCAATACAAAATGACGGTCCCAAAATATGATTTGATTCCCCGTACCTAGCCTGAACCACGATAAAATTGTTTCAATAAAGTGGAAGCTGAATGGCGGAATAACACGAAACGCTTCGGGGTAATATGCAATTAGCTTATTGTCTGAGCACCGTTCGATAATAAGCTTGTATTTTTGATCAAAATAATTCTCAAGAGCAGGGGGAAAATGAAAATCAATTTTACCCTAGAATGCGTCCGGATAGCGAATACAATTAACCAGTCGTTCAGCATTAATTATGCACATTTTTATGAGTTGCAGGGAAGGGATAGGAAGCAAATGGCTCAATAATGCCGCACACTTCCACAAAAATAATGATTTCAAGCGTTATACGCATGCCACCCTCTCTTCATAGACATGGCATAGAAAATCCCAACCATTTCTTGCACAGACGCCTGTACGGCCGAGCGTCTTATCATGTTGGCAACCAATAGGTTAGCAACGCCCCAAAGACGTAGTAAGAATTACTTCGAACTCAACAAAATACTTCAGAGAGTCTAATATGTAATAAATATATAGAAAACTGTACGAGTTACAATTTTCCGCAAAACAGCGCATTGATATATGAATATTGAGGCAATAATGATATATGAATAAGAAAATGAACTTAGAGCAGAATATATTGAGACAAAATTAGTTATTGGTCGTAATAAATCTTGAAATATTTATAAAATATCGCGCCTAAGCAAAAAATATCGGTAACCCCGAGTTCATTGCGATATCCGGTGCGATATTGCAAGTATATAGCTTAATTAAAACTACTAGAGAAATAATCGCGTCATTTTTCAGCAATACTTTTGCGAATACTGCCATTATAGATGGATCACAAGTTTTACACGCAACTTTGCTTATTATGTACCTATAGCCATTAATGAAAGCAAGAAACTAATTTCAATACAATACAATTTTCAGTCGCAAGGAACAGTCGCAGAAAAGGATTCTACAAAGCAAGATTCATCCTACTTCCACAAAAAGCTTCCTTTCTTCAGCATGCTTATACCTGACACATGCAATGACAGCGCAGAAGCGCGAGGCGTAAGGGGATATTTGAGGCGCTTACCGCAAGCTCGTCGTTCTCTCATTCAAGTGGCGTTAAGAATCAGTGACCGGAGCTGAGACTCCCGTTATAATGTCACGCAAAACAGGCGCAGCAAAATGCATATTTTGCTTCTTGCAAGATGGCATAGAGCTGGCATTGAAGGAATAACTTTATTTGCGAGCTTCTAAAGCGCTTTATCTCACTTGCAACGGTTCAACGAAGCAACTGATAAGATTCAAGACTTCCTTCTGCACACACAGGACAATTTTAATCGGATATGAAATAGTTTAAGTAACATCTGGTGAAAAAGGCCATTCAAAAATAAATTAGAATTGAAAGACCTATGACATTTCACAGTATAACTTATAATGTTTGTGCTCTGTCGACCGAGTGGTCAAGATCACCAATATTGCAGTAGCGAGTTGTGGTTTCAAAACCCGCAAGCCGCAACTAGGTGTAGAAATTCTGGTCAGAATCAGCAAGGTGGCTGAGTGTTTAAGAATCAGCGACTGGCCGACAAGGCTTAATCACAGATGATATCACTATATAATGGTTAAAATTTGAGTGCATTGACTGTTAAGCTGAGGGTGCGCCGAGAGGGAGCGCCTGCAACTCTCCCTAGATAGGTGTAGCTGAGATAACAGAATATATAATAAATAAAAATAATAATAGATATAACTACCAAAAGCGAAAGTGAACCTCGCATATCATATAGCAGGCACTCGCACAACAGGCAGCAGGCAGCAGTGGGCGAGTGGAAGCGTAGGTGCATTGGTCACATAATAGCCAAGGTCGGCGCCTGAGTTCTTAAGATAATTCGAGTGTACTGCTCACAGGTTCGCAACATGGTCAACACTAAACGTAATCTCTTACATAAATAATTGACGCATAGCTTGCAATTCATTAATATTATTCCAAAAAAGTGATTAAGACTAACAACCAACAGAGCCAGAAGCACTTGTTGGCGATTCGGTAAATTATTCGAATGCTCCCTTACGACAAGCGTCAATTGCTATAGCATTTCACTACCTAAATAGACCTCAATGATGCATTATCGTTCCAACCAAAATCAGTCGGAAGAAAAATGGATTATATTTAGATAAATGTACAGTTTGGGCTGGATAAACTATCAGTAGACAACCGCATCCCTCTAGTTAGAACTCCAGGTAGGCGGGATAATTTACCTGGAACGGCTGGCACTGGCAGATTAGCAGAGACTTCTCATGATTCCAGAAACAAAGATAATGTAAGAGTAGACATTATGAAAACCAATGACAACACCACTATAATTAAATAGACAAAAGCCTATTCGCAACGAGACGAAGCATGTGGGTTGCCGCACAGGCACGCATCACACACACACCTCCGCCTCAACTTCAGTCACACTGACGTCTGCGTCGACTTTTGATAGGGTCGGTAGCATGGCGTCCATGAACTCAAGATTTTCTACCCCAGATCCAGCAATAATATAACCCTAAATTGAGCCAGCTTCCAGAGGTCATCGGACTCATGGTTGAATTAATACAAGGTTGACCCACGGCGACGACGATTTTTTCGCCGTTCTGCGCATGTCTCGTGTGACGTCAACGTGGGCCAAAAATGTAAACAGTAGAGATCAACACGTTGTTTTTGTGCCATATTTGAAATGATATTAAAAAAAATTGACCTCCTCAAAATGGAACATAGCACATGTTTGTACCTATATTACCCCTTGTCCCTGGGTTCCCCTGCCAAATTTCACCTTGCTGAGAGTTGCAGCACAGCCAGCACCAATCGCCAGGATGCACAAATAGGCTATTCTAATAGTAATATCCAACTATGAGGATTCTTTTTCTTCGATATAAATTATATCATCATCATTCGTCAATAACTTTATTACCTAGGTAATTTTACATATCTGGTAATTTTCCTCACTTTCTTAGCCCCTAACATAAACACAAAACAGTATTTTGATTTAATCTCTAGGCATGCCATTAGCCTTACCTGCTGCCTTAGTAGCCTAGGTGTCAGTGTCACATCAAATACAAGGATCTGATTCTACTCACAGTCTCACTGAAACATGTACAACATCGTAAATAAATTGAGAAGTATCAGATGAAAACTGACATAATTAATCAGAGATAATTAGACATCAACTCACTTGATATAAGCGGGATTCGTTGAGGAGAGAGCTTCATTTTTTATGGTCATCTTCTGAATGATCGGACAGGAACTCCTTGCGGCGATTACGGCCTCTCAGCAAGTCGGCCCTGTTTGTTTGTTTCGAATTTATTTGTTTTACACGATCGAATTGCTCAATAAGCCCTATATACTTAGAGACAGACTAGCTGAAGCTACTGGGATCTTTATAACGATTTTGAGGAGGGCAATTTTTTTTAAATTGATCTCAAAATCGGCACAAAAACAACGTCTTTCGCTACAGTATTTGCATTTTGGTCCCATGTTGACGTCACAGTCGGAACAACAAACGACATCCGCAAAGAGCAGCTGCGCGTGGGTCAACCTTGTATTAATTCAACCATGATCGGACTATCCTACTAATCTGCAAACATCTTTCCATTTTTCGCGCTGTTACATCTCTTGCTCAAAGATCAGTACGTGACGAATTTTATCAATTCGTTATTATGCGCTATTAGATTTTGCCTAACGAATTTATATCCAAAATTTCACGATGAGAGCATAGCTACGCAAAATTGATACAAGGGATTTGGAAATATTGGCCTAGAATCTATAGGTTTGAGGTGATTCTCTAGCCAGTTTTAACAACAGTAAGAGAGAAGTAAATGAACTCAAAGCGATTAAATGTTTCGCAGTCAAGTAAAGAAGCATAAAAATGGGAAAGGCTCGAAAATTTTATCTTTTACTAAATTGTAGATTATTTAGAATTGTAAAATTTTAACCATATGTTAATTTCATTATCCGATGAAGGTGCTCGTACAGGAAGGTCTAATTTTAACTCATAGTCGTACTTTTGTATTGGCATATACATATATATACTGTTATACATAAGTTGGAACATAGTTTACATATGAATTTGTTACAGAATTCGCTCTAATTTAACGGAAGAATTTTAGTTCTAACTGCTGCGCACTACTCACTAAAAATAATTACGATTTAAGCGAGACATTAATAATTTTTTTGCTGTGTTTAGAACTTGCCATAACAGCTTATGTCAGTAGCTAAAAATTAATGCAATACTAAAATCATACAAGAATGCAACGCGGATATGGGAATAAATTTTCTCTTGATTAATAATATTTAAAAAAAATGCAGCAACATAACCTTAATTTTGGTACAGTGTTCGAAAATAAAATTGTCAATCTATCTGTACACCTTATAATGTACTCGCTATTTTCCATGCTTAACTTAACGTGCAAATGGTTTTAATAAAATAATATACATTTAAAAATTACTTTTTAAAGACAACACTTCTAAAAATCCAGTGTCTCCAATGTTACAGATGTACAATGAATTTCTCATTTTATTTTCGAATATTAAAAAATTAATTCTTAACTTTTTTTAATATATACAATTTTGTTTCAAAATCATTTATTCTGTCAATTGATTCATGCATTGCCTCCGACTTCACACAAGAGTGCAAAATTTCAGATCAATTGGACAGGTAAAAGTGTGTCAAATATCAGTTATAATATTTGTAGCTGACAAAATTATTTTTTCAATTTTTTAAATATTAAAAAAAATTTAATTTTTGAAATCATTTATTTTATCATTTGATTCGTGCATTGCCTTTTTATGATTGTTTTCATAAAATTCATTTTTTGCAAACTTTACGCAAGTGTGCAAAATTTCAGATCGATAGCCACGATGGGATAAGTAGAAGTGTGTTAAATTTCGATCATAAGATTTGTAGCACACAGACAGAAAAACAAGAAGTGAGTTAAAAAGAAGTGTTGTAATAAAAACTGGCATTGAACACGATCGTGTCCATTTGCAGATGTGAATCAATCAACATAAGCTAAATTGACGTATTTGCTGGTGAAAATTGAACTTTTCTTATGTTTTTAAGTCGACTTAATCACATCTTTTCAATTGAAAAAAATTGTCATTTGAGGCAAACCTTTTGTTATTAATCCAGAAAATGACCGCCAGTTTCTGACACAAAAATATACCGTTATGTGTTTCGTATAGCTACCGCAAATCGGTTAAATTTTCCACGGCCAGGAGCCAATTATTTTAAAAGCTCTCGCCAAAACACAACATCTGTCATCAGTTAATTCCGACTGAACAAGTTCGTAACATTTATAAAAGAAATGAAGTTTGCTGACGCCTTAACAACGTTTAAACAGTTTGACGTGTATATTTGTCAATGTCGCGGCGAAAAAAAGTTCAGTATCGATTCATCGAGTATATAGATTATTTGTTAATAAGATGAACTTTGAAGAATACAAAAACTGTTTGTTTTGCAATGATGCATCAACGTACTTTGATGGCCTAGGATCTGCAGTTGCCATTGTACATCAAGGCACGTTCATGTATCATTTCTAATAATTATATTATCTAAGGGGACGATATATAGAGCTACTATTGAGTACCGCACCGGGTCTTCTGTGATGGAAAGATGCAGCCTCAATCATGTTTGGTTGTGGCAGTTGGCTCGGCTTCTACTTAGAAGTCCTGATAAAGCTTAGACGTAGCACGCGTTTAAAGTTTCAGTTCGATAAATTTATTCGGGATCTTGAAGTAGCACCTCGAAAGTAGCACTTTAAGTGGCTGCTCTTGTACCTATAGAGCTCACGTCATCTGTTACGGTTCAATCATTGTTGATCCTCTTCTTCGGAGTTTGACAATTGGACGGTTATAAATAGCTGCGGTGGATAGATTAGCAGCATACCATCGTGGTGAAAGTTTTATAGCGATAGCTACCCGTGGCACTCTCTCACATTCTTTAAACTATGACGTCACCTGAGTAAACGATGTTATAAGTTCGTATCCACTTGAAACCGTTGAAACCTATGCAATAGGTTTTGCATTCCTTAGGCAATTTGTACGTCTTATTTTGGTCAAAATCATATTAATGAAGTTTTTGTACTGATGATGGAGCTGGACTCCGATAAGTGTTCAGTGCATAAAAAAATAAATTTTTTGGCATTTTCTTTTATTTAAATGCTTAGTTCATATAAGTTGCAACGAATCCGTCATTTTCTAATCTAAAGTAAAACTGACTTTGCATATAAATTTAAAAACAACCCGTACTTTATCTAACTATGACAATTTGGAATTTATGCAGAATTTGTCACAAGTTTTCTTAAAACATCGAACGAGTATAAATGCAATGACCAAACTTTCATTACTGCATTTCTTCTAGCAATAATTAATGCTCTGTGTGTCCGACTGAGGAAAGTCGAATTCTCAGCTCGGATTTTTTTAGAAAACCGTAGACTGATTTTCGGATAGAAAATAAATAAATTTTCATCTAAATGCAAAATATTGATCGAAAAGAGGGCTAAATAGTTTCCACGTTGATTAAAATGAATGGATGTGCTATACTGATTTTTAAAGTGTGTTCTAAATTCATGTAAATAAAAGTGCACTTTTTGCCCTCAGGTGATGGTGCCCTCATTTTGATGGTGACTTCGAATCTTAATTCCGCACCAAAGGATGGGCAACTCAGACGTTGTCCACCGCATGTAGATTGGGTCTCTATAAACAAAATTAGTGGAGCCTCACATACACGACATACATACGAGATTCACCAGATGCAAACGATTAGTCACATACAGGCTATATCTATCATACAGGTCATTTTTTTCATAACAAGAAAACTATCACTTATTCGCCATATGCGATCGATCACTTGTTCCCCCACATGCAACCGATCACTTATTCGCCACATGCACACGATTAATTATTCGCCATACACATACGATTAATTATTCGCCACGGGCAAGCGATCACTTATTCGCCACCTGTGAGCGATCACATATTCGCCACATGCACACGATTAATTATTCGCCATACACATACGATTAATTATTCGCCACGGGCAAGCGATCACTTATTCGCCATGTGTGAGCGATCACTTATTCGCCACATGCACACGATCAATTATTCGTCAACTATTCGCCACATACAAACGTAAACAATATATATTATATTATAATATAATAATATTATAATATTATAAAAAATATATATATATATATATTTTTTTTCGATTCATCGATATAAATAAATATATATTCCCAATGTATATATAATACATTGGGGGTTTCAAATTAACGAATTTAGCAAGGCAACTTTGATACTGGAGACATTTTACTTGCTATTTTTGGTTTAGAATAATAAACTGATAAAATATAAGCCATTAAAATAAGTATACGTTTAAAAATTAACTTTTGAAGACAACACTTCTAAAAAATCCCGTGTCTCCAATGTACAACATGTACAATGAATTTCTAATTTTAATTTCGAATATTAAAAAAATAATTTGTCAATTATATTAATACATAAAAGAAATTAAATGTTCAAAATTATTTATTCTGTCAATTGATTCATGCATTGTCTCCGACTTTACGCAAGTCTGCAAAATTTCAGATAGATTGGACAGCTAGAAGTTTGTTTAAATATTGATCATAAGATTTGTAGCAGACAAAATTATTTTTTCAGTTTTTTCAATATTGAACAAAATTGATATTTATAAAAATATTTATTTTGTCATTTGATTCATGCATTGTCTCCAACTTTACGCAAGTGTGCAAAATTTCAGATCGATAGGATAAGTAGAAGTGTGTTAAATTTCTATTATAAGATTTGTAGCAGACAGACAGACAAACAAGAAGTGAAGTTAAAGAGAAGTGTTGTAATAAAAAGCACATTGCGTTTTGAACATTTAATTGTATTTAATCCCAACTTTTCCTCGTGAAAGTACGTTCAAATGACATGTAATTAGGTATGAATTCATTAATCATATTGAGATTTTTTATGTGGCAGGCATCGCACATGCATTCAGGATAAGCTTTAATTAAAGAACTAAATTACAAAAACTTACTGGTTTCGATGACTGAACAATTAACTTGTCAATATAATATCATTCTACGTTAATCATGTTGACGTCAGAACTGATGCACCCGTATTTTGATGCAGTTTCCGCAAGAAATCATTTTTGATGAACGTAACATTTTGTAGGAATAACTATTCTAGTGTTCACATTATTATTTCTACTCTAGTTGACTATTTACAAATAAATACATTGATAGGTATGCTGGTTATTAACAAGCAAAATAACGTGGAAAATATATTTGCATACAAGATTACTCCGAAACTGTTGAAATCACATCAGTGAATATTATTAGTCTAGAAAGCATAACCTCGAATTTATTATTGAACATTATTCGTCCTAGAATAACCTAGAAAGAATAATAAAAAATAGCTGGTACATATTGCGAATTGTTATTGTGTTTAGCTCCTGTTGCACGAACACCAATAATTTGGCTTCTGTGAAAGTCAGAGAAGTTTGCTATTTTCTGAGGTTATAGACACAAAAATTTTCTGAAAATACATGTAAAAACAAATAATATTAATTAATTAGTAACAATAATAAATGATAAAACATTAAAATACGTTAAGTTTTTATTGTTTAAAACGCATTCATAAATTGTTATCTCAAAATGTATGGTGTTCTCTTATTTTTTCATATCTCTGTACTTTCATTAACGTAGAAATGTTCAAGAATGAAATTAATCCCAGAAAAAATATTTTCTTCTTCTCAAAGATACGTAAGCAAGAAATGATTCGTCAATAAATACAACCAAAGCGCAATCTATTTTACAACGGTAAACAATAAATAATTGATAACTAGATTCTACTCCGGCCAAATTTACTTTATTAATTCACGCACACACAGTTTGAAGACAAATAGCGTCCGGCAGTCGACAATCTTGCCTTGCATGCTGCGACTGTAGTCTCAAAAAAAAAAAAAAAACTAACAACCATGCGAAACGGTTAATAAAATCTTTTAGCCCATTACATCGCCCCGACACAATAATATTTAATCTTATTCCAATTTGCTTATTCGCTACCTAGAGAACACATAATGGCGGCGGGCTATAAAAAACTTGGAATACTCGCATTATACAGAACAACCTGAATAATCATAACAGATGGTTCGTCCCAGAAGAATATGCACGAGTCATTGTCGGCAAAACTCCGAGTAAACAGCGAGAGTCAAATTCTTAATCGCGTTGGTGGCACGGAAATCGCATAAAGGAAGTGATCGGCCAGACAAAGCTGCTAAAAAGCTCAGCGTAAATAGGGGGCGGAAGCGTGGCAAGGTCGGCGTGACCTCAGTCAGGTTATATAGCAGCAGGCTCAAAAATGATCTCATTAATCGTATGCTTATCTTGATCGCAAGCTCTTGTTTTTCATTTGCAGCAAGCAGGACTGGCTTTTCTGCACGGTGATTAGTTGGACTCAATGTATTGCGGCAAGTTATGTGTCTCTGTCCAAGTGTTTCAGCGTCAACGCGGTGCCGCATTAGTGGAAAAAATACACCAAGTTCATTCGACATTTCATTTGCACGTTAGCCTTTGTCATCGAAGCTCATGGAATGGAACTCGATTTAGTTCGCTGTCAGCTCCCATTGGATAATTAACGTAAATAAAAGTATATTAATTACATAATATTTGGCAGCAATAGATATAAAAATAACAATACGGAACCTATAGCATGAGTAATAAATTATGTAAAAGTACAGGAATCGTACATGATTACCGACTGACATAATACCGGAAGAATGACGATTTGATTGATTGCAATACCAAATTCCCTGCCTCAGGGCATTAAGCTAGAAAATTATGCTTTGTGAGGAAGTAAACAAGGAGGCAGCAAAAAAAAAGTGAACCTCCGATTTCTAGTTGATATTGGAAAAATTGGTACACTTTAGCGACCTTCAGATAGTCAGGGTTTTCTAGAGAAATATTTCCTGGGTTCACCGAAACGGCAAGTGTCAATGATCATTTGATAAATTAGGAAGGCAGGGCTGGAGCGATAGGAAACGGGATAATTCATTTTTCATCGCTACTTTCATTGGTTACATGATCTTCGTTTGAGGTATTTTCAGGACTAATTGAGGAAGCTTCCTTTTCAACCTCAAGTTCAGGCTCTCTATTCGGAGGTTGGGACGGTGTGGCACTCAATGAGCTATCAGTCATTGCTAAAACTTCTTCTTTTTGTGATGTCGCAAAATTTTCTCCAGCAATGGGTTCCGAATGTTCAACCTGAGTATTGCAGGCATTTTGAGAATTTAATTGTTTATTTGATAGGTTATAGTTGTTTAATTCATCAATTTCTACGTCGAACAGTGCACAATGAATGCGATGTTGGGCTAGTAGCCGTATACGTGAATCACGAATTTTTCTCAGGCGAGCAGCGATGTGCTCCCCAAAAATAGAAAACTCATCCCGAACATCATTACTGTGTTGCAAGGACTTAACAAAGCTTAGAACGTCCTGCAAAACGCTACCGTACTGACAGTTTGTTTCAACTTTCGGTTCCTTCAAGATTGCTTCTGCCGGAAGGTAGTAACCTGTGTCCATGTTTTCTGTTTCCATATCTCCGTTATTGGAGCACTCCATGTCAATGGTTGGGTTGTGGCACTCCCACATGGCCGACTGGCTAGCGCTGCCAGAACCAGAGGCACATGTACCATCATCTCTGCTCAGACGTATCTGGGGAAAAGAAAAAAACGTTTACAGATTTTGTAAGACATGGAATTACAATCCTATTCGTTCTTCGCAGTGGGCTGTAGGAGTGACATGCTTTAATAATCATCTTGGAACATGCAGCTCATTCGCAATTATGTATTACTTGTTCAAATTTTACAATCATAGCGCTCAATTCTTTATCAACTCTCAGGTTAACATGTACTACAGCTCATTCTAGATTTACTCCCAAGAACTTTTTAAACAGTGTTATTTTGTGAAAAACTGCTCAGTGTGAACTTATTCGATCTTCCCTCACCCAAAGAACATACTACCTTGAAAGACAAATTGATAGAAAAATATCCATTGAGGTTTATTAGTGGAAAATTAACACAATCAGAAAGGTAACTTCATATACGTACGGTATTAGAAAAGTAAAATCAGCATTGTCAAACAGAATGAGCTGAAAATTAATAGTTCTTAATTAATCCCTATAAAGATTTTACCAGTTCACGGACGCCACTGCCAGCAGCTGATCGATCAAAAGCCTCCCCAATGCTGGGCTGGGCCAGCTGGCATTTTTTCTTTGCAGGTGGCTGCGACGACAGGCTGCTGCTCCTGCTACTGCTACAAGAAGATTGCCTGTGTTTCCCACGGGACGAACCGGCCTTGATCCTCTCTTCAAACTGGATGGCATGGGCTGGGTGGTTCCTCTTGACATGTGATTTCAAGTTGTAGAGGCTTGATGCATGTCCCTTGATGGTTGTCTCCTTGGGCTGGCACAAGACACACTGGAAAAACATGAGGTTGGCGTTCCTCTCATCCACTGACTTAAAGACAAAGAAGTCCTCCAGGTGGGGCCATGGGTTCTGAGGCTTGTCATGGCAGACCTGGCGCTCAGCCTCAGCAGCCTCCGCTTCATGATCCACAGCCAGTGCAGGCTCCTCAACAGGTCTAACATCCTCAGGCATAACAAAAGCGTCTTCACTTTTCATTCCAAAAACTTGTAGACACTGTAACACTGTAAAGTGTTGCCACTGTTACATGACTAATGTCCAAAGTGAAGTCAACTGCAGAATTACACAATGCTGTGTCAACCAATCATATCATGTGTTATGGCTACTGTAGCAATAATACAAGTCAACCTGAGAGGTGGTGGATGCTTACCAATTACCCGAGAGGTGGTGGATGCTTACCACTTACCTGACAGGTGCTGGATGCTTACCAATTACCTGAGAGGTGGTAGATACTTGAGAAGTGGAAAATATGAGTTAGTGTACAAGGGAATAAATAAAAAACAAACTAAAGGTGGGGGAGTTGGCATTATTATCCATCATGAGGCAGGTTTTGAGATAGAAGAAATAAATGTTAGTGAGAATGAAATGAATGAGGACATTTTTGCTATGAAGATTGAGTATGCAACAACAATGAATGAAAGTATGCAAATTGTGATGATTGTTTGTTATATGACTGTAGAGGGAGTATGGTCTGAGCATGAGAACAGAGAAAAGTATGTTTGCAGGAAGAAAGTGCTTGATGAATATAGCCATGAGAATGAGATGATAGTAATTACGGGGGACATAAATGGATGTGGGTATACTAAGAGAGCCTGTGAACAAAAATAGAAAGCTTCTGAATGAGTTTGTGTTTGGAAATGAACTGGAAAACCTGAATGTTACAATGGCTGAGGGAAAAGTGACTTGGAACAATAATGAAAACTGCTCAGCAATTGACCATCTATTAGTGAATGAGAATGCAAGAAGAAAAGTGATGTACATGTGGGTGGATGAAGCTGGTGTGTTTGATATCAGAAGTGATCATAACATGCTTGTTACCGAATTGAAAATGCATGATACACATGTGAGAGAGCCTGAAAAAAATGTAAATGTCAAGTAAATGGGGTGGACTGGGATAATTTTAGTGCGAAGCTTACTGATACAAAATGGAAAGTGACAAATGATGTGAATGATATGAATGAACAACTTAAGAAATGTATGAACAAGGCCACCAGGAGCACATGAGCAAGGACCAATAAGAATGTATGCAATTGCCCCCTGTACTAATTTGTTGCTATTTTTGTACTAAAATTAAAGATAACTGGATACTGCAATTGCATCTCCAAAAAGTTCTCAAGCTAGAATATGTATAGTGTTTAAAGAAATTCCCTCAATATTTTCCCCTAGATGCAAAATCATTAATATAGGAACTCCTACAATCAAATGTGGGATGTCAAAGAATGGAAGAAAGAGATCAAAAAGAGAGTGAGAATATGTGGTTTATGAGTACCTATGGAAGCAAGGAATGGAAAGAAAGGATAGCCTACAGCTATACAGGATGAAAGAAATGCCAAAGTATGAATGAATGCATTTATGATGGTAGCAGGGGTGGGGACCTAGTATGGAATATATCTACTTGGCGAGCCGCGACTGAATTTTTCGAGCCGTGGTTTTATGGATTTGCCAGCCGTGATTCCATTTCTACAGGAAGTTGAAAATTTTATGAAATGACATGTTTGCGAAGTGCAAACCGCAATTTTTTAATAAAACAAAAATTTATGACATTCGAGCCGCGAGATTTCATACCTACTGAAATTATATGATATTAGAGCTGCGATATTTCAGACCATAGTGGCAAACCAAAGATTTTTTAGCATCAGTTCATTTTTGATTTCCTCATTTACTCAATATTTAAACCAACTTCTGATGTGTGATAAAGCTGGTAGCTGTCCAATAATCCATGATACTTTACTGGCCTACTTATAGTACTAAAAATTGAACTTTTTTTTACACTCTTCACTTGAGGAAGAGTGTAAAAAACTCTCTGCTTTGCCACTATGTTTCAGACAAAAATAGGACTTTTCCAGACTAGGTGGGGACCAAATGTTTTGTGTAAGAGGCTAAGAGCAAATGCCAAGTGTGAATGCACAAACATACAGGTGGAATGAAAGAAGAGAAGATTCTGTTTCATGTGCAACACAGGTAAGAGAGAAATGGTGGAACACCTGATGATGGAATCATGGAGTGTAAAGCATATGAGTGAAAGACTGGAAATGATTACAGTGATAGTGTGATACTGGCTGATGAGAGGGGGTGAGAGTGATGGCGTGATATATGAGAGAACAGGAGATGAATGGACGGCAATGATAGTGGGCCTGGCAGCTGGCTGCTAGTCACCAGGGGCAACCACTGCCATGACGGATCACGGATAGTGGTAAGCGTTATTTGTATGGTGCATGGAGAACGAGGGAGAGGAGGATGCTGCAGAGAGCAGAGGCCAGAGCCCAGAAGGCAAAGGGTGTAAAGAAACAAGGAATAAAAAAATAATGGTAATAATAAAATAACATATAAAAAGAAACTAAGTAGTATCTAGTGTTTTGGGAACTAACAATATTTGTGTGACACTGACAAATGTCCAAAACTGCCTTGCAATAAGTGGGACCTCCAAGGCTTCGACCGACGACCATGCAATAACCAACAAAACAACCTCTTTATATTGAAATTATTCTCCCTCTCCTCTAGGTATCATCCACTGTTTCTTTCATTTCATTGATCTATTACTTTAATCTTATACCAGGGTGCATACCTAGCCTACTGGTATTTTGAAAAAAAAAAAAAATCCATAACTTTTCCATGACCTGGTTCTAGTACCTGCCTAATCAGGCTAATCTTTGAATGTTAACTGAAAAGAGAGTAGTCAGTGCAGCAGATTGGCAGAACCAAACTTTGCCAAAACATGTACAAGATGAGTAGGCTACGCCTATCCTACGAATCCATTTTTCACCGCTGTTTCCAAATGAAATCGCTCGGCAGTCGGCATTAATGGGTCAACACAAGCTGCACAGAAAAACACTTCCTTTTTTCTTCATTTATTCGCGAACTTCATGACTTTCCATAACCTTAACCGGAAATGAAATCTCATGACTTTCCAGGCCTGGAAAATGAAAAATCAAATTCCATGACTTTCCAGGTTTTCTATGACCAGTAGGTACGACCGTATGCACCCAGTTCGGTATTATTGCAGATTAACTACATCCAAAAAAAAGGGTGTTTTTTTTTTAATTATATGTTTTTTGGGGTGTAGATTACGAATCTGAAATCCATTTTTGGCGGTCGGCATCGGAAAACCGATTTTTTTCGCGACTTACTAACATGGGGGTTACGTAGGATTTCAGATTCGTAATCTACACCCCAAAAAACATATAATTAAAAAAAAAACACCCTTTTTTTTGGATGTAGTTAATCTGCAATAATACCATCTTGTCTCAATATTATGAATCCAGTGCCTGGCTCCCCTTTTTTGTTTCAAAGTTAGCTGAAAAAGCAAATTCAATAGGAAAGAGTTGCTTCGATAATTAGCGGTTAGCGGATTAGCGGAACCGGAACTGCGCGCCGCCCACCACTGACCAGTTATTCATTGACAAAACTGAGCCTTACCTGAAAAATAACGGAGTGAAGCCAGTAATTTCGGAGAAAAACTTTATTTACGTAACTGAAAATGTATAACTCATGTTTTCCACAGATAAAAAATACTAATACGAACTTGCTCGGTGCTTGACAGGACGCTTACCTGAAAGCTATTGTCCATCAAACTTCCATTGACAGCAGTTGATCGTCCTTCTAAAAGGAATTCCAGAGCTGAGTAAGCAAACCACTTGGGTTTTTCAAAATCTTCTTTTCTCTCGGTAGCTTTCTTCAGTGCCATCTTATGGTAATTGGCAAACTGAGTCTTCAGAGTTTTTATCTTCCTCTCTACGCAGCGCACATCTGCACCAACGCACTTTGCTATTTCCCGCCACGCTTCATCTTTCTTGTCTCTGCACGAGTAATCAACCGAAGTGGTTCTCCACAAGCACTCATGAGAACGGTACGCCTCTATTAAATTGAAGATTTGTTCAGAGCTCCAGTGCTGGTAAGCCATTATGTAATCGACAAAATTCAAAACTCTACATGCTAAAAATGATCCACAGTCGCTATGCAGTTCCTGCTGAGGCTATCGGAAATACACTGGCATCAGCCTGTAGTGTATAGCAGCAGCTGCGCAACATTGCTCAACTTGTTGCCAACCTGCGCAGATGCGTAAATGCTCACCCCCACCCTAACTCGCTCCCCCCGTCTCCCTCTTATCCATGCTATTCCTACTCTCGATAGCTGCCTTGTGTCGTGAACTTCGGTATAATATGATAAAAAAACGCGTCCAAAAACAAACCGACAGAATAGATAATCAAGCTTTCGTACGTGTTAAAGTAGATTATTTATAAGAGTTTTTNTACTCTCGATAGCTGCCTTGTGTCGTGAACTTCGGTATAATATGATAAAAAAACGCGTCCAAAAACAAACCGACAGATTAGAGACTCAAGCTTTCGTACGTGTTAAAGTAGATTATTTATAAGAGTTTTTATGTGTAACGCAGAGTCAGAGAACATTTAACTTAAATCAGACGCTGTGTCAGGGAAACGTATAGAGTATTATTGTTTCAATTTGGCCATTGAATATTTTTACAAATGTTATAAACATACCACCACGCATCGAGCGACGAGAGAGGTTTAACGAACCACTCAAAAGCTTTAAATCAACAAATAATCTACTAATCCCGTAACATCAACGGTTTAAGCGACGTTTCATGATCATTACAAAACCTCTTAACATTCCGAGAATGTTAAAGAGAATAACATTTTTGAACTTCTAGATAATATTATCAAAATATTAACAAATGCCAAATCGATTATAATGCTAATCTTGCTTTATTTACTAATTAATAAGGTAGAGAAATATTCGTACCAAAGAAATTATTAGTTACACTAAAAAATAGAATAAAGTTATTGATTGTTTTAATAATAGAATAAAGTTATATCTGTTGTTGAGTAAGAAATTCATTTCCGCTGTGCCGATGTGTTGAGCAAGTTTTTGCATACAAACACTGACATTATATCTACACTGCAAATGTCACCGACATACACCAATAAAAACACAAGTCGATTGTCAAAAAATATGGATACAAAAAGAACTCAGTCTTCAACAGTTAGGAGTATAAATAGCTTAATTGATAACTTATTCACCCCTACTGCGGTTCTTACGAGACCTGGGCGAGCAAGTGAAGCATTTATTGCCCTGAAGAACACAAAACCCTCCTGATAATTCTGTGTACAATTATATACACAACAGACTTCCCTACAATACTGCCAGCACGAGCCTGTCTCCATAAATTATTTGTGATAATAAATCAAAATTGTTGCTGGAATGTTTTTCATGCCTAATAATTAGGAAAAGAAAAATTAGCTAAGCTTTGTACTGGAAGAGTATCAGCAATCCCTCAGGGTATCAGAAAAGATACGAGGGGCGAGGGAAATAATTTATTTTAATTGATACCAAACATGATAAAGCTTTTTTTTAGAATTTTTGACACTTTTTGCTTCAAATCTCCGACTCAGTTGCTGATTTCCTGTTTTCCGACTTCCTCGTCAATCTCGCCCAGTAGTAACAAATATGATCCATATTTCTATCTATGTAAATATGATCCATATTTGCGTATTTATCCAAAGCCCATTCATTGTACATGTACAATGGTGTCAGGACATCACAAAAATATTGGTCGTATATATAAAAAATATTGGATGTTGCGAGCTTTAGATAATAATGAGGCAACTGTATACTCTGCCGCACAGTTCAGCTTTACATTTAATGTAAAACCGTAATGTTTCATTTAATAATTTTAATTTTTACACAGTTCAGCTTTACTGAAATAAGATGAAAAATCTTTTTTTAATTAAAATGATATGCAATAAAAAATTAAATATAATAAAAAATTAAATATTATTCATAAACAGCAGTGAAATAATCAAATTTGAAGATCTTCGTTAAGAAATGGTCCAAAAATTACATTTTTACGCATTTTCTCATTTATGGAAAAAATGAACTATTGTGCCCGCCATGTCCGTCTGTCTGTCTTTCCGTCCGTCCGTGACCTCAAGTTTTCGTCGACGAGAAAATGCGCTCTCTGTCACTCACTGCAGTGAGTACTGAGTTATATTTATTTTTTAGGTTTGCGAGCCATATCACTTCTCCTAAACTCAAAAATTGAAAAATTGATCTTGCTGAGAAGAATTGAAATTTAGGAGTACTTATTTCGCAGCAATGAAAATTATAAACAATTTTATATAGTAAAGAGGAAAAGAGGTTTGTGTTAATTTTTGATAGTATTATGATTTAAAACAATAGCTACCAAATCCGAAACTTCCAATAATCATTCTCCAAATTAATAAATTAATTATTAATATTCAGACGAGCCTCTTCAGTTGAATTAAATGATGGTATAGATTAGTTGCTTTGGTTTCGTCAACTTACGCCAATATTCCCAACCGCGAACCTGGTGTGGATTTTTTATATCAAATTATAATATTATAGGGAACTAATGAATCATTAAATAAATTTGGTTTCGCGAAACCATCAAGTTAACTAGTCTTTGATACCAGATGCAAAAACACCAATTCTTTACTACTATCTCTTGTTACGTTTGAAACAGTAAATATTTTTACTAAAACACTAAAGTATTAAAGATTCAAGTTTCGGTAGGAAAAATAAATAATCTTTGTCATCTACGCTTGTCACAAAATGAAGTCATCCCCTAAAAGTGTTGCAGAGCATGTCTGACTGGCAACTGTGACTGTGATTGCATGCGCCTGCAGTTAGCTCCGGCTATGCCGAGCACGAAGCGCTCAGTGCGGTCTGTCAGTTCCAAGGCCTCGCATGAGCTTCGGACTGAGGAACGCTCCCCTCGGTCTATTGGGGCGCAAGACGCGCGTGCTCCATACTTGCTGTGTGCGCGTGCAGTGAGCAACACGTCTGGCGCTGCGTTAGCAAGGCTCTTACAGTGTAGTGGCCGAGTCAGACATTTCATTCAATAGTGAACGGAGGAATGTGGCTAAAGTTTAACCACCCTAGCATATTTTTGGCTGATAGTTGCGATCATGAGATTCAAACTATGTGATATGGCTTGTTAATTATGAGAAATTTTTTTAGTACAATAAATTTTGCTTTCAGATCTCACCATGAACTACTTAATTAAGGTGGTTGTATTTTGATATCTACAGTATAGGATAGAGGCGGCATCCATGTCTGGTAGGTATAGAGGATGAGTTAGTCTTTCACAATTAGATCGTTTATAGGCAACCTGCACAGGCTCTTTCTTGCCCGTTAGACTAAAACAGTGGTTCCCAAACTTTTTCAGGCTGGCGCCAACTTTGGCTCCCCAGTGAATTTCTAGCGCCCCCCCCAGACACATATGAAAACATAAGCTTGCTCTTTTTTACGCTTTGTGCGCTGCAATTTTAAAAGAGCAAGTTTGAAAACAAATGTGTATTTCGCAAATAGAACCCCATTTAGTAAACCAATATATTTTTTTAGCTGTTTTAACTATTTCAAGATTAGAAACCCAGGACGTCTTGGACAAATTTACGGCCGGACTCGTGGCCGGTCACGCGGCCGGTCTCACTGCCAATTTCCAAATTCAATTATCAAGGAATATCTCCCAAACTGATGAACGCAGCTCGATGAAATTTGGAACACGTTATCATTAGGACCTAACGTTGATGTTTAGATCGTGAAAGTTTTATTTAAATTTCCCCTTCATTCGTGAGTTATATGGCGATACGGTCGAAATTCGCAGTGATCAAAGAATTTCTTACAAACTACAGAACAGATTCGAACGAATTTTGAATATCTAACTGTCATACGGTGATTTTTAGCTCGTGAAAATTGTTTTGAGTTTGCGAGTTTTTTTTTTCATTTTACCGTCATTTGTGATTTCACACTTCTTTATTCGGCCTATCGCCGGGTAGTTTGTCGCTTAAATTCGCGGTGATCAAAAAATTTCTTCAAAATT